AGTACGTCATATGCTTCGTTGATCTGATTGGTTTATTTGGCCCGTCTATCACCAACATAGGCCAATCAGCTAACCAGTATTTTCGCCCCTTCCCAAAATTACTTCAACGGAAGGTTTCCAGATGGATATGCGGAGCAAATCCATCTGCCGGAGTCAGGTTAGCAACACAAATCAAAACACTGAATCGGTTTGTGTGTGTCTAACTGACTGACTCACTAAACTGCATTTCAAAACGTATCTGTCAACATGATGCATCTGCTATAAAAAAAATGTCTCATCTTTTGCAGTTTATTATTAAAATGATCAAGAATTTTGGAGCAGCCTAAAAGGAATAGGAACGTTTCAGCCGTTGTCATTTTTATTAAAGTTAATTTCAAATTGACTCTAAGTTTATTTACTGTTTTGACTTTACTGATTGTTTTAAAAATATGATTTAAAATCCTACTCCACAAGCATCCTAATTCACATTTTACCCTAAATTTTCACATTACGAAATATGTTTACATTATTTATTGGCCACATTTAAAAATATCAATTTTGATATTTTCAATTTAAATATAGATATGAAATAATACAATATAACTTAAATTCTATCATTGCACCAGGTCAGAGGTCACGGATTAGCGGACCACGGTCCAGATCCGGACCCACCTGCTGGCTAATCCAGACCCAACCTGATTTAAAACATTTATAAATCACTACATGTTGTCTGATGACAGTGTCTAACCCCAAAATCCCACATCCTACATCACCGCCCCGACCCGCTTTGCTCGAGACCTCCTGCACAAAGCAAAGCCTACAGCCTCCGCTGTTCCTCCCCTCCTGCTCCGCTCCGACTTCCTCGGAGCTCAAGGAGAGCATGCGCAATATTATTATTAAATTCAGGTGCAAAACATGCAAATTGAACGCTTAATTTAAAATGAAATATTAAAAAATCCTCTCCATCGTCCAGCCTTCATATGTTCAGTTTCTGCCCAAATATTTTGGTTTTGTTGTGGATTTTTTAACAGGGATTATTAGGATAATCCATGGTTTGTATGAACTATGTTTGTTCTCTGCTTCCAAACTCAGCATCTCTTCATCCAGGCCTGAGAGGAGAAGTTTCAATTTTGAAGTTGTGAGAGGCGCTCTTGGNATCCATGGTTTGTATGAACTATGTTTGTTCTCTGCTTCCAAACTCAGCATCTCTTCATCCAGGCCTGAGAGGAGAAGTTTCAATTTTGAAGTTGTGAGAGGCGCTCTTGGGCATTTTGACTGGATTTGATGAAACTTTTAAGCCTCTTAGTATGGAATAAATATTTTGGTCGAGAAGAGAAATCTGCTTCCTGGTATGTTGAAGTACCAATAGTTTCCATCCAATCGTTTAAACGGTCTTAGGTTTTGGGAATATATAAGCTCACGAATGAGCATGGAATGGCTTTAGAATGGCTTTGTCTCCATTCAAACCCAAGTTTAAAGCCTTGCAGGCAGGGGCGGAGCTAGATGGGCCCAATCATTGGCCACCCCTAACATTTATTTCCCTCAAATTATAGTTAATTTGAAAGTATAGTTTGTCTTTATTTAGAAAGTATGGATATTTTGCTCGTTAATTTTCCTGTTGAAACAGTGTAGATTGACCCTGAGGTCCTGGCGACTATCCGCTTTCGGCACCCCCTCAGTGTACATTGATTATTTCCAGGCCACCCTTATAAAAATGTTCTGGCTAGGCCTCTGGTTGCAGGGCAGCATAAAGCCCACTGCTCTCATTAAGCCATAAAAAAGAAAAAAAAACTAAACTATTTATATACCAAACTGAACGATTGCTATCCTCTACTTCAAAAAACAATTTAGATTTTAAAATGGATTTTTTTTTATTTAATAATTCAATGTATAACATGGCAGCATAAAAACCTCATTTTATAATTAAAAATCCTCTGGTTCTTTACTGGTTGATGATTTTCTTTATTCGGATCCTGCTGATTTTTAATTGGTGATTTAATTGGACTAGGTCATCAAATCAATTTAGTTTAGCCTGTCCAATAAGCTGCCTGTAGTTTCTTTAAATGTCCAGCAGGTGTCAGTAATCTGTCAGGCAGCATCAATACAGTTTGGCAATGTGTGAAAACGCATCAAGATGCCTCATTAATTAACCCATCACTACTCTAAGCCTAAAATCAGTCTAAACACAGACCTGCAGCAGTTCTAAACATAACAACTCGGCTTCCGTACCTCTGCAGAACTAGCTGCCTTAATGCCAGTTAGCTAATGCCAGCTAGCCTAGCTACCGCGGATAAGATGACTACAAATAAAAACACTTTTTAATATGTTAAAGTATGAAAAATGATAAGTTATTTGCTTTACCCGACAACAAGAAGCCCAGTCTGAAGCCTTTTCCTCAGCTCTAAAAACACTCCGACTCCATGTGATGTCTCCCCAGCCATTCAAATATTTAGTGTTCAAAAGGAAAGCTATATTTAATACGTTATATACAAGTCTGTCTGAGTAAAGAGGATTTAATTAATATTCAATCAATCCAAGAGATAAATAATTAGACTGGAAAAAAGGTAAATCACTGAGATAAATGGATATTTTCTTCCCTCTTGGTTGAAACGTCACACGTTGGGGCTTTTCGTTAACCGTCCGCCGGAGGAAGAGCTGGTTAGATTCGATAGGAGGCGGAGTGGGAGGAGTTTACCGCCATAAATGAGGCTGACTATCATACAGCCTACAGTTTATAACATAAATGTTTTAGTAATGTTTTTTTTTTTTTCCAGCTACATGGTCAAAGTGAATCTAAATGGGGGGATGTTATTTTAAATGTAGATTTACTGAAATATTTTGCTAAAATTACATGGAAAATGTAATATGCAATTTGAAGAAGACCAAAAATAAAGGAAATACAAACACAGATACATGTGCAAAGGTGATTAAGAATAAATCAGCTTAACATTTAGTACATCTTAGCCTATACACATCAAGCCTTAGTCCAGTTTGCCGAAGTAACCTATTTTTTTTGTATTTATAATTTTTTTTATTTAACCTTTATTTAACCAAGAAAAAAATCTCTTCGACATTAAAAACCTCTTTTTTAAGGGAGTCCTGGCCAAGTGTCAGCAAAGTTACATAATAAACAGAGATAGATTAAATTAAATGACAGGAATAAAAAAAACATATCATATTACATATTGCTCTGGGGCCCTAAGCAACTACAGGGCCCTCAGGAACAATTAATTATTTATATTTTTTGCACATATTATGATTTATTTATAAGTATAGTGTCAAAAACATACAACTGTATGATAAATAATTACATTTGTAGATCCAAATATCTATAATCATGTAGAATGTATTACTTATACTTGAAAAAAACAATAATAGGGTTGGTCTGAGCACCAGATTGACACACGGGGGAAGAAGCAGCATAAACTTTGGAAAACAAATAATCACTTGATATTTTGTGCTAACCAGATTTAATTATTTCTGTTTTTATACAATATAATTTATACTTTTCATTTATAACAAAAACATTTTTCTCCTGCACTATAAGTTAATTTTGCACACTGCCTTTGTAGTCAATACTGGCAGAAATAAAAGGGTTCAAAGATCTAATTTTGCATGGGAGCTTGGGCCTTTTTGTCCATTTTAAGGAGACAAATTAAATGAATAGTGGCTCATTCGGTCCAGAAGTGATGCATGCTTTTTATTTGTCTGCTAAGAATTTTTTCTGTGTATCTATATCTGTTGCATTGAATTAAAAAGGTAACATATAATCAAATAATGCATTAATTTCACTAATTAAAAGGTGAACTATTATTTTCTGCTTAAAGCTCACAATTTTATACATTTAGGAATAAAATACTGTCCCAAACCCGCTGCGCTGGCTCACCGGTTGATAAATGGTGCGGGTCCAAAGTAACTGGAAAAAAAAGAAATGAAAAGAAACATCCGGTTGAAAACGTCAAAATAAATATATGTATTCTACACACCATAAACTGCTAGAAAAGCTCCAAGAAGAAATAATATAAATATCGATACATTAATAAATTGGCCACATTTATACATCTAAAATGCTCCGGACATTTTGATTTGAAAAATAAGGGGTGGGGGATAGTGGTACAGATTGTTACATTTACTGACAATAACTTTACTGAGTAGGAATTTATTTATATATTAATTGTTAGGTTTGACGGGTGCAAAACAAAGAAATCATGCAATGAATTGAATTAACAGAAACGTTAGTCGTCTGTAAAGTAAGTTCGAGCTTTTATTTTGAAGGCGTCGCAGACGTCACAGCAGGAGCGGAAAGGCGGAAGTGCAAGCGGACGCATCTGCAGTGCAGTCTGGGAACTGTCAGCCGTTTAGCTCGGTTCCTGTAGCGATGGCAGCTATACCGTCACCCCAGTTTTTCTTTCACACTGTCGGAAAATTTAAAAACGGGCACGAATATTTAAATAAAGAATAAATGATTTCCGGCTGTCAGAATATTTTCATCACAGTGATCTAAACCATTTGAACGGGTGTCGCCTGAGCCGGGCCCAGATTTTAAACAATTTGGAGCTAAACAGCTAGCTGTGACAACATTCTGACGTTCTTTATTATTTTATGGGATACGTGGTTGAATGACAGTTTTTTTTTTTTTTCCCGAAACGGTAAGGTCATTTTCTATTTTTTTTTTTCTTTATCACAAAGTGTCACATAACCTGCCCAGGGTTAGCTCACCTGCTATAGACAATAATAGAGCTGTCTGAACACTCCAATATCCTTCCTAAAAACAACCCATTGACACAGTAAGGACAGTTATATGTTTAGATAAAAGGCTTGTTTTTTTGTGTGTTTATAATATTTTTCCTAATATTAGCACATATTCATGCACTATCTCAGTTATCACACAATGACAATACGTTTCCACCTTTTACAAGTTAATATTTTATCAAGTTTTATATTTCCTAATGTTTTTTCGACCAAATATCCCCGGAAAGCAAATATCCAGTCCCGTGACAGTTATTTTCCATTTTATGACCTACACCTGTTAAAGCAGGAGTCAGCCAATCAGGAGGCAGGACTCCAGGTGATCGGGTCATTTCCGGGAAGCGTTGAAACTTTTTAATCAGGCTTTGAAGTGAATCTCAGAATCAGACAGACTGTTCAAAGCTACAAGCCTGACTGTAAAATAGAGCTTTAGATGAATGCTGTGTACTGAAAGAGCAACATGAATGGTTTGATTTGTCAGTTTGTTTTGATGTACAATTGATTTGATCTAAATAATAAGAAAAAAAGTGGTCCCATAGGGCCAATGAAAAATAATGTCATTGATTTTTAAATTTTATTTCACTATAATATGAGAAAAAAGTCAGGATTCTGAGATTAAAATCTGTATTCTGAGGTAAAAGTCTGTATTCTGAGATTGAAGTCTGTTTTCTGAGATTAAAGTCTGTTTTCTGAGGTAAAAGTCTGAATTATGAGATTAAAGTCAGAATTCTGAGTCAGAATTCTGACTTTTTTCTCCATATTAAACTGATTTTTTTTTTTAATCAGTCACCTTTTCTTATTTTTTCAGTGATCCTAATCCTCTTCCATACATAAGCATTATGCATGTAAAGATAATGGATTAGGGCTCGCTTGAGTTAGTTTATTGGTACTTTGTTTAATCCTCTCAACAATCAATGATTTTGGGTTAGTGCTGGATGATAAAATTATTTTATTGGTTATGAATACTATGAAGATTTAATATTTGGTGCAGAAGTGATGCATATTATTTTTAGTTGTATGCTAAGAATTCTCTATCTATATATGTTGCATTGAATTAAAAAGGTAACCTATAATCAAATAAGGCATTAATTACACTAATTAAAAAGTGAACTGTAATTTTCTGCTTAAAACTCACAATTTTTCAATTATGTTTTTAAGAATAAAATAATGTCCCAAACCTTCTGCAATGCCTGAATTGATTAGAAAAAATTAATAATAATAAAAAATGGTTCCATATGCATTATGCATGTAAAGATAATGGATTAGGGCTCGCTTGAGTTAGTTTATTGGTACTTTGTTTTATCTTCTCAGCAATCAATGATTTGTGTTATTGCTGGATGATAAAATGATTTTATTGGTTATAAATTCTATGAAGTTTTAATATTTGGTGCAGAACTGATGCATATTCTTTTATTTAATATTTCGAAAAATGTTAACAAATCCATTTATTGGGCTTCCTTAGCTAAGAGTGACATCATTTATCAGTTCTTGTTCTTGAATGTCTCCTTATAACTGATAAACTAGCTGTCTGTGAAACCAGCAGCTGCTAACATTTACTGTCTGTGTTTTTTGTGAAACATGATTATTTTACAAGCATCATTTGCCCTTGAAAAGTAAGGTCACCTCCCAGAAAGTATGATTGAAAACAAAGCTAAGTTTTGAAAACAATAAATGATATTTGTCATTTTTACTATGCAATTTATGTGAGGATTTGGTAAGAAATAAAAACGGGAGATAGATTTTTAAACCACATCTTCGACGCCTAATTTGGGGGAATAATCTGGATTAATCCATTTTTTCCAATCCGATACCTGAACTTGCCGATATCTGATATAAATTGAAACTTTTTTGCTAATTTAAAAAAAGCAACGTAATTTATATGTTAAATTATGCAACTGAAGGAAGGCTGATTTATAAGGTATAAAGTAATTAACATGTATTTTGAGTGTATAAAAACGTATGAACCAAAGCTTTTAGAAGTTTGAGGGGATACATTGTTTTTGTTAGTGAGCTTTAAATCATTGGATTAGTTGGAGCTCTTTATTTGTCAGCCTGATGAATAAGAGAATGAGTTTGTTTGCAGAGGAGCTGAATCCTTTTAATAGCTTTTCTCCTGAGAGAACAGGTTGTAGGAGGAATAGAAGCAGCATTCTGGTGGAGCTAATTCTCTAATTTCAGACTGTGATGTTTTACTTCTGAAATGGAATAACAGTCGAATCAGAGTTTTAAACACGTAATTCATGTCTTCGCTTGTTAAAATATCCCAGGCCGCACCTTGTTTTTACTGATAGATTTCCGTTTTAACAATGACCTCAACCTTTTTGTCAGCAATGACTCCAGCAGTGTTTGAAAGCATGTGATTTATTTATAAATGTCCTTTTCCTCCTACTGTTTCCTGTGTTGCAGGGATAATGTTTATATGAATGGCTTGAATTGTACATTAGAGTAAAAACCAGCCAGGAGAATGAATGCGGAGGAAGTGGAGCTGCTGAGTGACTCAAAGTACAGGAACTATGTGGCAGCAGTGGACAAAGCCCTCAAGAACTTTGAGTACTCCAGCGAGTGGGCAGACCTCATCTCTGCATTGGGCAAACTCAACAAGGTCAGCGTGAGATCAGAGGCTGCAGGTTGTTTGTTTTTGTTTAAAACAGCTCTACAGATTAATAGCATTTGGCTCTGTTTTTTTGTTAGGTTTTGCAAAATAATGCAAAATACCAGGTTGTTCCCAAGAAGCTGACGATTGGCAAACGGCTGGCCCAGTGCCTCCACCCTGCGCTGCCCAGCGGGGTCCACCGCAAGGCCCTGGAGACCTATGAGATCATTTTCAAGATCATCGGACCCAAGAGGCTGGCTAAAGACCTCTTTCTGTATAGGTAAACGGATCCAGACTAGAAGCAACACTGCTAAAGCTGCTGGAAAAGGACCAGGAAAACAATCACGCTGGATGTTTTTTTTTATACTGATGTGAGATTAGTAATTCTCCGGGAACAAGAAGATGAAAACAAAAACCAACTGCTGCCATTATCTCAAGTAGACATCCACTGATACAGCTTTTTTAAAGCAAGTGCCGATTATTTTAACATCAGTCTAACCAGAGCCAGATCTGTGCTGCCCTTTTATTTCAGGCAGATATTGCTTTTTCTTCCTCTGTTTATGTGATAAAAATAATTTGGTCAAAGGCTACATAAGTCTGAAAATAAACAAAAAGCAGCCTTTATCAAATCAAACAAAACAAGAACGATAGACAGCAAATGGTTGGAGCAGCAATAAGTGCACCGATGAATCACCAATCCTGATAGAAGAGAAAGGCAATTATAAGCTGGCAGATATATATCTCTTCTGGAATAGTTTGGGATCCCAAGTTAACAGAGTAAATCTGCTCTCATCCCTGAACTGGAAATGACAGATTTTTTTATATAACCTCTGTCGAGTCCAGGTATCCCTCTCATGCTACCAGTAAGGAGAGTAAGGACTCTGACCCTGGCTAAATGTGATAGCACTTAAAAATGATCAAATAAGGATGGGAAAAATGTCTGTGGCCTTCACTTGAAAACTGTTTCATTTCAAACTTTATTACAAAAAAGTGTTCCTTTAAATGTTTTTGTTGAGCTGTTTCTTTAACATTTAGCTTTGTCGCTGCAGCTCTGGGCTCTTCCCCCTACTCTCCAATGCTGCTATGTCTGTGAAGCCTGTGCTGCTGGGGCTCTATGAAACCTACTATCTGCCCCTGGGGAAGACTCTAAAACCGGGTCTGCAGGGTTTACTGACCGGAGTCCTGCCCGGCCTGGAGGAGGGTTCAGAGTATTACGACAGGTAAGAAGAGACCTACTGAAAAACCAAACCACCACTACAACTATGATAGGAGCAAATACTTCAGGGGATTTTAATGCACTGGTTGGGAATCTAATTGGCAACAAACATTTGGTTGAATGAAAGCAACTTCAACTAAAAATCTGCCTGCTGTGAGTCTAAATTTGGTTACATTAAGAATGATGGGACAGTCACTAGAGGGCGCTGCAGCCCTGGTAACATCACTGTCTCTCAGGCTGCTCTGCTTGTTTTACATCCCAAACCATGAGCATCTCGCATAGTGTTTACTCTAAAGCATCCTTTGAGATGAATCCTTCCAGCAGTTTAGATTTAGGCTAAATATCATTAGCTGGTAGTTTGACAAAGATGTTTTTTAGAGCAGAGTAGGAGAAACTTTCCTCTTCATTTATGCATGTTATTTATTCATTAAAAATAACAACAAGAAAAAAACTTCGCTTCTGGTTTATTTTGCTGCAAATCCGCTTTTATTTTGGTTGTTTAATAACCCATCAATGACACAGGATGGTCGGGCAGATGAGATTTGCTGATAACTGAATGTAAAACACTGAAGTCTAGAAATCCAAACAGAAGTATTTAGCTTCTCTTTTAGAGCTGGTGTTGTTGGACTCAAACGGTGGCTGGTGCTGACTCGTCTGTTTCCCCCTTTAGAACCAACACCCTGCTGGAGAAAGTGGCTGCAGCAGTGGAGCAGTCGGCCTTCTACAGTGCCTTGTGGGGCAGCATCCTGACCAGCCCCTCTGTGCGTCTCCCTGGGGTCTCCTTCGTTCTGCTGCACCTCAACCGGAAGCTCTCCATGGAGGACCAGCTCTACGTCATGGGCAGTGACATTGAGCTCATGGTGCGTGATGGTGTTGAACCCCAGCCGATTAAAGCATTTCATGATCTTCCTTTAGAAAATGCATCTTCTGGATTGTTTTCATTATAAAATGGCACCACTTTCCGCAGAAGAGAGTTTGTTCTTTCCAGTCAGCCTGAGTTTATAATGAGGAGGAGAAAAGCTGCAAGCACCCAGACCGATCAATATGTAGCTCTGCTGACCTTCTGTTTGACCCAATGCATCTCAATATAGATAGTTTCACAGCTGGTTTAAATTACAGGAGCTGTATTGTGTATGGATGGGATATTTTATCCATGAAATCAAACGGTATCTTCTATCCCCAGGTGGAGGCTGTCAGTACCTCAGTCCAGGACTCCAGTGTTCTGGTGCAGAGAAGCACACTGGATCTTATCCTCTTCTGCTTCCCCTTCCATATGAGCCAGGTGAGCATAACCTCAGTCTGGTTAAGGTGTTTAGCTGAATCTCCAACATTCCCAGATTTTCTGCTAGTGAGACGATCAACAAGGAGTAAGTGTCCAAGCCCAGAAAGCAACATAGACAGAACCGTGCATGAAGCCCTTTAACCACTGACCTGTTCTAATCATGCTAATACCGTTTGTGTTTAAAATAACGACACAAGATGGACAAGCAAAAGGAAAGCAACATTCAGGTCAGCAGATAATAAAACTCATGTATGCTCTACCCCCATTTCCTTCTCTCTATGATCCTTTAAAGTGATGCTGATCAGTAGCTTTCCTGACTTTCTGAAGGTCTGCCAAAGACTTTCTCTGAACTTTAGCTGCTTTTTACCCTTTTGCTTTTGTCCAGAACCTTAAAACATTGAAACAAATGGACTATTGCAGGACAGATTAGGGTAGGAGAACTACCCTGCAAAGACTGACCTAAAAATTAGCTAACATTTTCTATGAAATAAGTGTATTTGCATCTCATTTGAGCACATTAACAACATTAGCTGCTAATAGATTAAGGATTTTGGCACTTAAAAAGACATAGTTGGATATTATGACTTAAAAAGAGATAATGGAGTTGTTTTTTTTTATTTCATTTTAAACATAAATCCTCGTATTGCAATGGAAAGCTATCTTAACTTCTTAAAACACGGAAAATACATTTAATTAATGAAATATTGTCTTGCCTTTATTTCAGTTTTGGGAATGTTTATAAATAGATTAGCCTTGTCTGGAAATAGATTTCCTCAAGAAGAAAATCAGAACCAATCCTATCAACGAGCTGTCACAGCATTGTAGAGATAAACCAGTTTATCTGCTTTCAGCTAACGGCTCTTTGATATTTAAACTGTTGGGTCAAAGATGCGGTTTTATCTTTTTCAGAATATTGTTTTTGTAAACTAGATCTAAACAACTTGTCTCTCTGTAGAATGCCTGATTATTCAACTTTTAAATTTCTCCCCAGCAGTGATTTGCTGGTTGAGTTTAGGATCTTTTGTTTTATACCTAAAAGATTCGTTTGTACGAGTTAACCTGGTTAACAAAGAATCTTCCGGACGGAACGGAGGTGACTTGGACAGATAGTTGGTATAAAAGCAGCCAGCATCCAAACCAGGGTGAATAGCTCTTGTTTCCTGTGGTTTCTGTTGCTGTGTGTTTGTGTTCACATCCTTTAAAGGGCACCATTATTCCCTGTTATTTGTTCCCATATTTCATTTTTTTTCACCTTTATTTGCCTTAAAAAACATCCTTTAAAGTAAACACCAAAAGTTATGTGATTAAAATTTAGAAAGTTAGCTAAAAGTTTACTTTAAAGAAAAGAATTAGGATTTAATAAATTTTTTACCTTATCAGTGTCCCAAGATAGAACACTGTTGCCACTTTCCAGCACAGAGGCGGAAGTATTATTCTGCTGAGCTGTTGTTCTGCTTTGGATCGCAGGACTGAGACCAAATCAACAGAGATTCAAAGGCTCCTTCCTTCCATCTGTAGTCGTGCATTGATTCAGAATCTCATTCACTTTTCTTCGCTGTGTGATTTCAGGCGACTCGCCCTGACATGATCCGGATCCTTTCAGCTGCTTTGCATGTCGTTTTAAGAAGAGACATGTCCCTGAACCGCAGGCTGTACGCCTGGCTGCTGGGTGAGAAATACACTCAACACAAGATACGCACGGTTAGGAATAAACTTTGACCCCCAATTTATTCTGCCTCCTCTCCACTGCACTGCAAAGCCTAGAGGAGCTCCAAGGAGCATGCACAGATCAGAAAAAGGCTGTGAGCAACACAGAAATCAGACAAAAACAACTCCCTTTAAGGATTTTAAAATGGTTAACACTTACTACTTTTACAATGATGGAGTAACCCTGAGTGCAGAGAAGCTAAATTTGATGCTTAAATGGGGGAACTTAATGATCAGTTGTTCTGTTTACAATACCTGTGCAGCCCATTTATTGATCTAGCGTACAAAGCTGCAAGTTTTTTTTGTTTGTTTTTTCTTTTAGCAAATCTAGACATCTTTAGCGATCTTTATTGAAAATCTGGATGCTATGACTGTTCCTTTAACCGCTGAAGCTGATCTGATTTCTGTAATATTACTGCAGTCTTGATTAGGGTCTGGCATTGTTTGAAACTGAACGATTCTGATTCCTTTTTTCTGATAAAGTTAATATCGATTCTCCTGTCTGCTTCTTTTGGGAAGCTTGTGAAAATTAGCATGTTTTAAATCGGCTAGCTAACCATCTGTCTGGATTAAATAGCCTGAATTTTAATTCATGGAACATTTAACTTTGCCTGATCGTTACTAAAAAATCTCCACCAATACCAGATATCAGACCTATGAACTATAATAACAACCTCACCACAACAGATAACATATTCAGATGGAGGGTTTCCTTTTGACAACATCATTAAAACACATTTGCATAAATCCAGTATCTGATGCTTCAGGTACTTTTTTGGTATAAGAAAGTTAATCATTTAATTTACCTGATTCTGACTGCATTGCAGTGCTAGGCAGGAGCTGAAGGAAAACAAAGCAACAGGTGCTTTGTTAGGGAAGTTGTCTCTACAGAAAACATTGACTGCACCTCTGGTCAACTCAACATAATGGAAAACATAATGTAAAAGGAAGATAGGATAAAAATGTGGACGGTGTGCTAGGATTACAGGGAGGAACCTACCTTTATCACAACACCAGTGCACTCATGTTGAGTCTGGTGGTTTTAATCATGGTGATAATACACCATCCTTTTTTAAAACAAAGCGGCGCGTGTATGGCGTCCTCTGCACACCGGACTGGAGTTGTAACAGGCAGCCCGGGCCACAGGCGGCTACGCTCTACCCCTTCTATTCATTCAGCTAGCTAATCTAAATTATTCAATTCCATTAAGAGAGCGAGATCATCTGTGGTAGCAGCACTAGACATCTTCCAGGTATGTGAGTAAAACTAGCAGCAGTTCAACGAACAGGATGAATGAATGGTAGCTGGCGTGCGGATGACGTCTTACACGCGCTGCTTTGTTTTTAAAAGATATAAATATAAAAAAGAAAACCTCAGATGTCTGGGGGAAAGCGATTCGCCTACATGTTATGAATGCTGGGGTACCTTAAAGAATAAATTCTGAACAGTTTAGTTTGTGCCTTCAACTCGTTGCCCATAGGAATATCTTCAGAACAGCTCTAAATGACCCAAAAGTTATATGGGTAGAACATGATGTAATTAGGTAAAATCAAGGGCCCAAGGTAAAAAAAACAAAAAAAAAAAACAGCATTCCCCTTTAACAGTTTGACTCTTGAAAATATCATCAGGTAGTTCCTGCATCAAAACAGACCTTTGGGATATTATGTTGCACATTGATATTTTGGAAACGGTATACTTGAAATATTTTATTCAGCCCTGCTTCTGAACAGCTGGCATTTATTGGTTTATTCACTGTTTTTAATCCATTTTCTCTGATTTGCTTCTCACTGTGGGAAAAATTACTGGTAAGTATGAATAAAAGTTAATACACGTTTTTATGTGATATTTTATTGTTGAACAGAAATAATTGAAAACGATTCTATTTAAAGTGCTGATGTTAGAAAAGGCATGCTCTTATTTTCTCAGTCATTAATTACTATTATTAATGAATGGCTCATGCATGTTAATGTCTTGCTTACAATTTATTTGGATATTTTTGCATAATGAAATAAATGATAATGATGCCCTGTCTCACCATTAGACTGTAGATCCACCTGTTAAAATGCAGATGAGACGATGTTTTAGTTTCTGAAGGTTTTTCATACATGTGATTAACATTTCAACAGAATAAGAAAGATCTGTATAAGTAAAGACGCTGCATTAAGCTTTTTGGGACAGTCTACCTCCTATTCTCACTTATTATCTGCCCTTTGCACCAAAAATTCTTCTGATCCAACAGATTATTTATAAAATCTCTTTTCCACAAATCTCTTTAAGTAAATTTTTTTCCAATATGTATGTATGTTTTGATTTAAAGTTTCGATTTCTTTTATTTATTTATTTATTTACTGTGTAGTTGATTCATTTTTTATTCTTTTTAATGAAAGCCTTTGAAATACAATTTTTATTTCCCCTATGCAGCTTGAGCTGGAGATAGACCAGTAAACCGATATTTTACTTTTTTTTTTTATACTCGCATTAGCATCAGTAGAGCATGTTTGCACATTCATTGGCGCGTGTCACTACCCGATCCGTCCCAGAAGTACGATCCCTACCATCAGCTCATTTGCGCACGTGCAACCAGATATACATCCGGGTTACTTTAGATCATTTTTTGTAAAAAAAAAATTACTTAAATTACGTTTTTCCCTTCCTAAGAATAGTAAGCGTAAAATAATGTATTTCCTGAGAAAATAAATGCCTTAAAATCCTTTCTGTTTTATCTCTTGTCTTTGCCCAATCTGTACCAGAATTGGGATCCTATGCTACCTCCATGAGCTAACATTTTCGGCTTTGGATTTAAACATAGATCTAGTTTTTTTATGTTTTATTTTTTCATTTCATGTTAACATTATTCTATATACTGCGTAATCTAAAGAAAGAAACAAATAAAATACAGATAAACATGGTTTATTCATATTTTACTGGACTACTCAGCTTGTTCGATGATGAACGTCAGAGAAGCAGTTTGACGAAGAAAATGTAAAAAGCATAAAAATTGTATAAGAAAAGTCATAAAACATATGTTGAACATGTGTATTAGCATTCTTTGGTAAGTTAAGGATAGAAATAAGTAATTTCAGTACCATTATTACATTATTTCTGGAAACCTGGATGGTACGGATCGTGCTTCAGGTACGGACAGTGCGTTCAGCTACCAGGCTTTGAGACCAGGTGCAGTGCATGCAATGCCTTTCCCTGCAACGCTTTATTGGATTTTTGCATAATTTCTTCTTGTATTTTAATTTAGACTTATTTTATAGTTGTTATCATTTTTATTTTTATTTTGTTAATGTACGGGTATAAAAGCAATAATGGAAATCAGAGGTAAATATTGGGGATCAGTTAAACTGATGTCTAAATGATGTCTATCTGCATCGGCCTTAGAAAGACCAAACAAATCTGTGAGCTTAGCCTGCTTTTCTGTGCTTCATATTTTCCCACCTAGAGCGGACGTATTATATTTTATTCTGTTTTCTTCTTTTTTGTTTTATTCAGTTTGATTCCATTTGTTTCTTTTCTATTCTGCTTTGTTTTGTTGTCATCTATACCAGATAGTAAGTGTAAACCAAAAACCACTAAAAGTGAACTAACAGCATTGTTTACATTTATGTATTTTTTTTTCTTTTGTAACATATTTCAAGAAAGGAAACAGAGGATAAAATCAAAGGGTTACTTTTAAGTTGTAATACGTTTTTAATTCTCATTTGGTCATTTTAAGGTGTTGACAACAATGGCGGGATAATAGGTCCACGCAGCACTCGACAGAGCAACCCAGAGGAACACGCCTCCCATTACTTCAACAGCTTCTCCAAGGACATGCTAGTCCAGGTGAGGTTTGGAGCTAAATGCACAACCAGGTCATCAAAGGTGTCCTGAATAACTCCAAAGGATGCCTCTTAAAAGCCTATTGCTGAATTTTAAGGGTGGCATGGTGCCTTCTGCTTCTTTTAGATGGCAAACATTTAGTAGTTTCCCTTCTTTTTATGTTTTCTGTTCAAACGTCCTCCTTTAGACGCAGACGTACTGTATTTATCCCCGGCAGCTTTAGCTTTAAAGGCATCTCTGAGCTCTTGTTAAAGATGTCATGCTGTGTTAAAATCACGCCATCTCTCCTGCTGTTTGATGCGCTCTACTTCTCCAGGGGGCAAAACACTGAACAGAGACTTTTTTGTTTTTTTGATCCGTCACACATTTTTTTTTATTTATTTGTTTGCGTTTCTCTCCCTCCCACCTCTGCCATCTGCTCAGAGATGGTCACTAAAGCTCTCTGAACAGGGACGGTGATGGCCCTCTGGGACTCTGCTCCATGCTGCAGATGGAGCGTAATGAGGGAGGAAAAATGAATCAAAGCACATGAGGGGAAACATAAAATCGGTTATGCTAAGCGTTTTCAAAAATAGAAATGGTCAAACAAACAAATGTGCTCCTCAGTAAGCCAGAAATGGTTCAGTTTAGCTTAAAGTTAAGAGCAGATCTTAAAAAACATTGGCTTAAAAGAGGCATGCCTTTTTTCTCTTAGATTGACATCAAATTAAAAGCTTTCTGCTTTAGGTTAGCTCGGGATTTCTAAACCAGAAGTTCCCACACTGCAGAAAGTGAAGTAAAAGTCAGTTAAGCATTTCTTGAATGAGGTTTTTTTTGCACCTAATTGGAGTAGCTAATTAAAATAATCTGCCAATCCAAAAGATTTTTGGACTTGAAAATAGAAATTAAAATAAAAGAATTCTGATAATCATCTTATTTTCAGGGCCAAAGTGCTTGATCCTTTAAAGAAGTGAAAATAAACCTATTTTGAGAAACTTGTACTTATGTGGAGATCAATTTAAGATATTATGAGCCAATTAAGGAAAATCCAGAGGATGCACTGCAAAAACACTCAAGAAATAAGTAAAAATGTATAAAGTGTTTATACCCTAATTTGAGTAAGTTAATAAGATGTTCTGCCAATGGAATGTGTGTTTTTACTCAACATAAGATTATATGCTCTCGAAATAACACTATGCCAATCTTTTTTTTCTTATTTTAAATGTAAAATGTCTTGTCCCATTGGCGAAGTGTCTCACGTCCTCAATTCAAGATAAAATGCACTTATTTTTAAGAAAAATTCCTTATTTAGATTTCGATTTTTTTTTTTCTCAGTGTGACATCGATTTGTAAGCTTCTGATTTACAACATTGAAGTTTAACATTTTCGTTTTTTTTGAAGGCAGATTGAAAATATTTGTTTGAAGGAATCTGAACATGCACATAGTTTGATATTATCTTCTTGTTTTAGGCGATGGTTGGGATTTTGCAGGGCAAGGCTCGAGGTGGGGAGGAGGAGAGCATCCTTATGCATGACCTAAAGCCATTTCGCATCCTGATCAGTCTGCTGGACAAACCGGAGCTAGGTGATCCTTTGGTCCCCACCTCCACAGGGTTTCATTTGTGTTTTTACACTATAGATAAAGCTTTAAAAACTTTCTGTCATTGCTCTTTCTCTCTGCCTTTTCTTTTTCAGGTCCGGCCATCCTGGAGGACGTTCTGATCGAAGTTTTTCGGACTCTTCACACACAGTGCCGGACAGAGTTAGACCTTCAAGGCCAGAGTCCGTTCAGCAAAGATCAGACGCACCTCAGCAGGTGAGTGCCAGAACACACACTTTATCTGCAGATTAGATGCATATTTAATCCAGGCTTTAGTTTTTCAATGAGCTTCAGAAACCTGATTAAAAGAATTGAATAATTTCTCTTCTTTAGTAAACTGAGAGAAAATAAAAGGACAGCGGAGCTCATTAAAACAGCCAATCTCCTGTTCAACTCCTTTGAGCCATACTATATGTGGGACTACATCGCTCGCTGGTTTGAGGAGTGCTGCAGGTTAGTGTCAACTCACACAACAGATGGAGATACCTGAATAGAAAACAAATTAAACACCCAGCAAGCAAAGTTTTAATCTCTATGTCTAAAAAGCAGGTTTAAAATACCCTGTTTGATTCGAGGAAAGTTCCCTCCACCAGTTATATCCTCTCTGGTCTGTTAGCAGCTTCATTAGAGTTAAGAAGTCGCTGTTTATCCCTGTCTCAGGAGGACGTTAAACAGTGGCGCACACGCTGGCAGATGTGGTTGGAGTTTGGAGTCGCCTGACCTCCCTCTGGTGGAGTTCTGTCAGCTGGTAGATTTTCTGCTGGACATAGTTTCCTTGGTGAGACTTTTTCTTTGATTTCTCTTATTCTCTCTTTCCATCTTATTTGTGATCTTCGCTCGTCTCGTTTCCTGTCAGTGCAGTTCTTTAATTCGTACTTCTTTATATTTCATCTTTTGTTCCTTTCAATGTTTGAGTTCTAGAGATGCCAAATTGTCAACTTTTAGCTAATCTGTAGGCTGTTGTGCAGCTCCTGCAGTGAGGCTGTTAACTTTTATTCAAAGTTAATAAGATCTGTAGTGGGAAAAAAGAATCCAACAATTGCCCCAAGTAAAAAAAAAGAAAACCAAGGAATTCAAACAAGCCAGCACTTGATTTTGATCTTTGCAAAGAGAGAACAGCTCATCATACAGCCCTTATTGCTTGGTAATCAGCCCTGTTCTGCCTGGGTAGCGTTCGTTCCCCCTAACTTACAATAATGGAAAGTTGTCAGAGTCAAAACAAATTACAGACACTTTGGTTAAACAGTAAAATGTCATAAATAAACCTTGAGAAAGAATATGTATATAATACCAAGGTATGTCTAATGTAGAAACACCTCACACAGTGGAATTGTGTGGCCTTGCAGGTGAAACAGCCTAAGGGAAAACATTTATAGTGAGTAAATAGCATGAATTATTATATGAAATAAGAGAAACTAAATTTTCCGACCACAAATAATTTTGTTGGTATGAGTAAAAAAACTTTCTTTATGAGGTTGATGAAATTAAAGAGATTAATATCTCAAAAGCTATACTGTTTCATAGGTTTTGCTGTCTGTTCCAGATCATCTGAGCTTAGATCAGGTTGCAGGTTCTTCTAAAGCTAAGATTTTGGCCTAAAATACAATTTTACAAGCCGTTGAGCAGAAATTAGATGGGTTTTAAAATTTAGCCTATATGGCTCACAGTGCACCCTTAACAGGGATCTGAGCTTGAGTTTAGCCTGAGCCTGAGAGCGAGTCCTTCCTGGTCATAATGCTACAGTGCAGTGATTACTGACATGGATGTAAACCATTCATTCTCTGAGTGAATTACAGCTGTAGCCTCCATCCTGCAGGTTTAACTTTTCTAGTTTCTTCACTTTGTTCCGTTTTAACACTGATGGCATCAATCTGATAGAGAAGTATTTTCTGTCATTTCTGTGCTTTTCTTCCTTTCTCTCCATTCCTTCATGTTTTATTTTCCCTCTTTTGTCATTTTCCTCTCTTCTCTATTCTATAATCTTTGTAATTATAGACTCCTGCCTGAGCTGTCAGTGTCACGCATGCTTGGCTCACACCTCCTTTGTATCCAGTGTATTGCTGTTAGAATGTCCCACAGACACGTACGGCGTGGCATCCATGCCGTCAGGGATCGTGGATGTCATAGATCCCAGATTCCCTGTGTAGGATCCCTTTTGTCTGTCCTGTTTACAGTTTTGGTCAGAAGTCTTTATTTACTAATCATAAACGCCAATGGTAAAGAATTTTTTCACATTGGGGGCTTTTACTGGTTTATTTGAGTAATTTTAAAGGTTAAGGTTATAATCCAAGTACAACTTGGATGAATTTTTAATTATACACACAAGCTACTCAAAATATAATAAATCTATGATTGTGACAGAATCACTGTATACATTTTTTACGCCACCTAGGAACTGCAGAAAAGGGTTTAGGAGGTCTTTTTACTCAGTTATCCTTGCAATTCACCAACACCATCATGTTTTATAATCATGTCCGGCCCAATCCTATTAAAATTGGTTTAAACAAACCTGCTGATTTGTTTCCTTGATGTGAGGAAGGTGTGCTGCTTTATCTTTATCCATATTTGTTTAAGTTTCACCAATGGGGTGTGCAGGTGACGCAGTGGTTAGTGCACACGACCCATGTATGGAGGCCTTAGTCTTTGACACGGCCAACCTGGGTTTGAATCAGACCTGTGATCCTTTGCGGCATGTCTCTCTCCTCTCATACCCCCTTTCCTGTCAGCCGACTGTCAAAAAAACGAGCCACTAGTGCCATTAAAAAAAATATCACCTATAAAGCTAAGGATGTTTTACTGCTGTTCCTCCTCCTTCATTGTTCCATTCTACTGCTGTGTTGGGATGCAAGATTTTTCAAGCAATCAATCGATTTTTAAATTTCTGTTATTTTTTCCAGTCAAAATTGGGATTTATTTCTTTTTTCCTTTGTTTGTTACACATTGCATGGAAAGTACTCACTTCTAGCTTGCCGATATTGATCTGCAGGCTAGCTGTAATTCTCTGTTCCCAATAAAGTGTCCAGCAAACGCCTTTTAAGTCTAAAACCAACCGTAATAAAAGAGCATCAACCAACTTGGCTGAGAACCCATTAGCCCCTAAACAAACATGCGGTATTCAATCAGGAACATCTGAATGGATGCAAAGGAACATGTGGTCCATTTGCAGCCACAGGATAGAAAGTCTACTAGTTATAGTAAATCCTCAATAAATGCACACATCTTGTGCATTTATTGATATTCAACTGTAGGAAAATAAAAAAAAGGTTTGTTAAATAAATCATTAAATGCCCTGTATTGTGTTGAGTGAATGCAGACTTCTGAACCCAACTGTATTTGCAATCTCCACCCTTTTAATCAAAAAGTCTGTGTGGGGATTTTGTCTTATTGTTGACCCTGTTTGCTTTTCTACTGCTACTGTACTTCCAATCTGAATAGTTTGGAAATCCTCCGTTACCCTGTTGAAATGCTCTGTGTGTGTGAGATCTAGGGAGTGGTGTTGTACTGAGTATGAAAGGATGACTGCAAACACTGATGGGTGGCCTGTGCTCTGCTTGCTCCTGTCTGTTCAAACTCTCTGCTCTTTCTCCTTGAAGCCTACTAGAAGCATGAGGGTAATCTGCCAGGTAAAGTAAAGCTCTTTCCTGCTTTTTCACCTCACTTTGCTTCACTGAGGCTACAGTAACATTTCAGCAATGTCCCGCCAACATCCCCCAGGCTACCTTTGTTCCTTTTTTCTGCTTTAAGTGCTCACGCCATAGTGGCTGACTTATTCTCATCTTTTTTTTTATGCTAAAAATCAAACATGATCTTTATGGGTTATGATCATTACATGTGTCAAAAACTTACCGTGGCTTTTTTGTGAAAATGAAATCTCTGCTCAGTTTCTGTGTCCTTGTTCAGCATGCATACAGTTGATGCTATTGTGCTCCTCATATTATCCTGACACAATCCTCATTTTTTTAATTATTATGATAATTTGAATTCACTTCATGATTTCATGCTTATTTTCTAATTCAGAATTTGATTATTTTATGCATATTGCTTGTTTAATTTAATTATTAAAAAAGTAATAAATCCATATGGATAGGTAGGCGGTTCTTTTCCTTTAACTCACTGTGCTTATGTAGAATATATTTTACAATTTGAGCCTGTTAAATGTTTTCACATTATTGCTGATAGGCCATGACATGGTAACCAATGATTGATTGTAAAGTGGAAGAAAGAATATGCATGATTGGACAAAAAATATGTCAGATAATTGAGATGTTTTTTCCTAAATACTTTATAGAGCCGCTTTTCATTGCTTTTCCAGCTCCTTTGCAGTTATTCTATACAAGCTTTACGATTAGAGGTTAGAATATTTTCCGTCCCTTCTTCGTAAAAAATAGCCCATTTCAGTCAGATTGGACAAAGGGAATTGGGAAACGTTTTCAGTTTTTGCTGCAGATTTTCAATTTCAGTCAGGTCTGAATTTTATCTTGATCTTTGTTATATATCAATACGATTTAAAAACAAAATGTTTGTTTCCCTCCTCTGGCTAGAGCCCCATGTGTCTGCACACTGGAAAAAATGGACCTCTAGATGAGTCATTTTTTCTTAAAATAAGTGAATTTTTTCTTGAACTGAAGAGGTAAGTGAGACACTTTGCCAATCGAAAAAGACTATTTACATTTAAATTAAGAAAAAACTATTTCATTGTCTTAAGTGTCTCAAGTGCATATTATCTTATTGCCTTATTTTAAGAGTAAAAATCCTCATTCCAGTGGCAAATCGTCTTATTTAAAATTGATCAAATTGATGGTAAATACACTTAATTTAAGACGTTTTGACTAATTTATCTATCTTTTTTGCAGTGCAGCATCTTAGGTTGTCTATTCCGGGATTATTCAGTGTTTTTTTTTAGCCTTTACAGCTTCACTGTCCCTACGAGCGTATTGATGGAGCACATTAAAGCTTGGATACAGTGTTAGGTAGTTGGTTTGTTCTTCTTCTGAAGGTGGTAAAATAAGGAAAAGATTTCCAGAGTATTCACACTGAATCACAGTATTCAGCAGCTGAATCAGGATTTGACTAAAAAGTCCCACACCTTGTGTCTTACAGTACGTCACAACAGCAAACTATCTATTATATAACAGAACACTATACGGATTTTCACAGCTGAAAGGATGCAGAAAATATCCGAACCTGACTAATCACACAAGCGTTTTCAGACCCTGGAAGAAAACAAATGACGCCCAGATATTGTGTAGAGAACGGGCGGTGAAAACCCCAATGATGTCGTTTTGTTCTTGCAGCTGTGAGAGCGACACAAAAACCTGTCATGGAGCTTATAAACAGCTTCAGTGTTACAAAGTCTCTGGTGTAAATGAGGCGACGGTGTGTTACATTTGGTGTTATTGCTCTCATACTCTCCCACTGGAGAATTCAACATGGCACTTACTCTGACCTGAACCTTAAAAAGATCGCCCTACAATTATCAAAGAAACCATAAATGCTCACATATAATATGACATCATGAAGCAGAGCTTTGTTCCTAACTGTATTCCAACTTATTCAAACCTCCAGCCACATCCTTATGAAAAAAACTGACCATAATATGGTGTATTTGGTTAAATTGCACGCTATTTAGAGATGTTCAAGTGTCACATCTTTATTGTTTTTCCATGAAAATTTTAATATTTGGAAAACTAATTTGGTAGATGCTGATGGTTGGAGGCAATGGATTGGGTTTGTTGAGGCTTTCAGAATAAACGCTGAAAATGCACCAATAATTTCATATATCTTTTTCTTCCACTTTACAGTAGTTGGCTGCTGTCTGTCAGTCTATCACTTAAAAGTCTCAAATGATGGATTTAAGTTTGTGACATTAATGTGATAAATTGTTAAAGGTTGAAGGTACATGGAAGCAGTTTTTAAGGTGCTGTCAGTTAAAGAAGCAGATTCAAGTAAAAGGACTAGAAACAATTTTTTTAGTATTCAAGATAAATGTTTAATGGTGTTAATGTAATTAAAATTAGATTCATTAATCTTTCTGAAAACAGTTTCTAGTTTATGTATTTTAACTAGTTAACCAAGTCACTCTAATAGTTAACTGGTATTTTCAGGAGACGTACATAGAAATCCAGACAGAGCATCTTCCTCAGCTGCTGCTGCGGATGGTGGCGGCTCTGACCTGTCACCTCCAGGCCCTGGGCCTCGGGGAGCTCACCCACTGCCTTCGTCTCTGCTCCAAGATCCTCAGCAAGGTGCAGCCTCCACTGGTTTCCCCGCTGGCCCTGCCAGCGAGTCCGCAGGCCCGCTCATCAAACTCTGCACGGAGCAAACGCAGCGAAGCGGAGGATAAACAGGTACGCCTCAACTATAAAAGAGCTTCTGTGAAGCCAGTCCCTGACTTTCAAGTACAGTCCAGATTCCTCTGTTTTTCCTCTGATCCTGCTTAAAAAAGAAAAGAAAAATCAAGGTCACGTTGTTTGCGTCATATCTTTGGTCTCCATTGGTCCAGTTGTAATACAAGTTCTAGCCTAACCCCTCTCAGTTCAGTCTCTGATGGTGTGTCCTGGTCCCAGATCAGCACCTCTTGCTGCATGCTGCACATGGTTGGGTGGCCATCCGTCTCTCCCCAGACACAAAGCATTTTGAAGACTTGTCTAAAAGCAAAAATGAAAAACCCAATTTAGTTAATTACTGACCTTCTGGTTACTTGGTCGTTTTAAGTGTTTTGCAAATCGCTGAGCCGTGGCTTGAAGTTCAAAGTTGCCTTCCCAGACAAACATGGATGAGTTGAGGTACATCCCTAAAGGCTCGGAGCAGAAAGATGGAAGAGGAACACCCAGCAGCTGAGCCCTTTCATTCCCTCTCTGTGGACCTAGATGACTAGACTAGCTTGAGAAGCAACTTCTCTACCGTGTTCTATGTCTGTCTGAGTGGAAACATGCAGTCCAGTATGGATCTAGTTTAACACCATAAAGGCCCACGACACCCATAAGGGTAACACGGCCTTATTCAGTATTATGGTGATTTAGGTTTCAGATGAGTGTAACTTAAAAAAACAGAAAACCAACAAATTTCCTTATTTTCATTTATTAGTAGAATATATCACTGGTTCCTTGTTCACTATGTAAAGTTCTTTAAGTGACCCTGGAGCCTGAATTCATACTTCTGCCTTTCAAAGTAAAAGCAAAGTTGATTTGAAGCCTTTCTTAAATAAAAACTAGTATACTGAAATTAGTATACCGAATGGACTTTATTTCCTGGGTCTTCATAATGGAAATATTTTTGTCTGTTCATGTGTTTAATAATGTATATATATAAATGACGGAAAATATAGTTCAACTGGATAAGGTTAAGAAAACTCAAGATAGTCTCAAAATAACATTTACTCAGTTCTTTTAGAAAGACATCTTGTAAAACTATTGTGTTATAGATTCTGATAATCATCTTTGAGTATTGTTTGTGCTTTTCTTACCTTTGCTGTTGGACCACATACATTTGCCAATGAAGGCTGCGTGATTTCATATTAACTACAGCTTTGTGTCCTCACAGTGAATTACTGATATTAACTGGATACATGACTAAAATAACCAATAGATAATGTTCTTTTTCACACGTCACCGGAGAACACAGTAGAAACAAAACCTCCAGCGTTTAACTTTCGGAGACATGCCAGCAGACAGCAGTTGAAACATGCATCTGTAAGAGACGCATAACATTGTAATAAGAAAAAGAAAAACACCCATAAATTATGATAAAAGACGGTTTTCTGTCTTTAAGTGGGGAAAGTTGGGAAAAGGCACATTTAAGTGAGCACTCACCTCACAAAAAAATCTTCTTCTAATAAAATCTGGCAGCACATATGTGCTTCCCGCTATTCCTGATGGCTTCGAATATAAATAAAACTTCTGGTCCTTTCAGTTCATTCTGGTCCATTGTGCAGGGCTGCAACGAAGCATCTAAACAGTGCAGGTCTGCAGCCATATCCCTCTTGAAAACCCCAAGAGCAACGAAAACACTTTCGTCCACTTTGGTTCACGTAAAGCTGCGTCTCAATGACGGTTGGATTCGCCGGTACTTCCTTTTAAATCTATCCAAGCTGAAAGCACCAATGCAGGGCGGTGAGCAGCAACAGACCAGGGTCTGTGCTGGAGGTTAGGGAGGACAACAATCAGTCTTTAAAGAGATAAATTAAGACGGCCTTTTTAAAACCTCTACAGAACATTCCTTATTTCATCCTTTGTCAATATTATTTCCCCTTTATTCTGTTTTAACTGAGAAAAGCTTTCCCTCCTGTCCACTTCTTTAACCTACATGACATCTGTAAACCAGTCCCTGATTGGCTACCACGATGTGGTTTCATAAAAAAGTTCAGCTTTCTTTCCCAATTTCAGTGATCACCGCTCCGCTCTCTCCGTACAGGGCTGCTCGGTTCTATCTAGTAGGATGAGGTGAGGGAGGAGCAGGGAATGTCCTCACTGCGTTGAGTTTACCGCTAGCCGCTCCGTTCCAGGAGTGTTTGCATAGGAATACTATGTAAATCTGCTGCGGACACCACGCTTGGTCTGAATGCACCTTTACAGCTGCACATTGATTGGATTATTTGGCTAAATTCCTTGTTTTTTATAAATTTTTTTTCTTGCTGTTGATTTTTTTATTTTATTTTACATTCTAACGAAGCTTAATGTAAACCAGAATAACGTATAGTAAGATAATTTTCTGCTATTGATTACTAAAATAACTTGCAAAAAAAATATATAGCGATCGATTTAAAGTTTCCATGATGTAAAAATTATCACTTAATGGACGTCAATAAAATTTCCATTTGGGAAAAAATAAACAAATAAGTTGGACTTGCATTTAATGGATAAAACTTAAATAAATTAATAGCTTTTGATTTGATTTATTGGTCATTTGAAAGATGACTTTCATTATGTGATTTTTATCAAAGCAATCTAAAAGTTTATATAAATTTAACATTTTTAGGCAGGATTTATGGAAATACTTGCTTAAAATATGAAGGCTTTAGTAATGAATATTATATAAAGTTCCATCCATTTGTGCCCAAACTGTTTAATATTTTGTAGTTCTTAATAAAGACGGATTTTTAATTAAGCCTCCATGCTATTGTTACATGAAGTTTTTCTTGGTCTGGTCTCGTTCTCACTCTGCCTCAGTCTTGGTCTGAAATGAATGAAAGAACCACTCATCAATAAAACATGATCTAAATGAAGCCTTAAAACTGTATTTATTCTTTTATTTTTATATATATATATATATATATATATATATATATATTAGGGTTGTCACGATACTAAACTTTTCAACTCGATACCGATACTAAATAAAATATTCAATACTCGATACCATTTTCGATACCACAAGAATAAAAACAAAGCCAAACCTGTCAAACAAAAATAATTCTCAGCAGCTGCACCTGTTACAAAAAAAAGTCTGAAACTGAAAAATGCACAGAATTATTCAATCACACAGTGTTCAGAAAGTGCATTTTCCACTATTCTGCACTTTAGATGGCTGTATCGATACTTTTGAAANTATATATATATATATATATATATATATATATATATATTATACCCTTTTTTTTATTTATAGCCTAAAAGGCCCAGAACTGTAGATATTGTTTTTAATTTGCTAAGCTGCTCAGTTGTTTTTCTTCTTGGTTTCTGTTTTGTTGATAGGTTTCATATTCTGCCCTTGAGACGTCTGACAGTGGGGATGTGTTTGACGATGGGGAAACCCCTCCCAGCAGTCGCTCCGCAGAAAGTGGCTTTACAGACTTTGTCCAGTACCAAGAAGATGGTCCTGAGGGCACGGCGGAAGCCTCTCATCTCCACCCGTCTCTCAGGACAGGCAGCCGTCCCACCGGCTTATGTCAGTCTAAGCCTTTGGACAAACCAGTGATGCAGTGTTGCCTGGAGCACTTCCAGCAGTTTCTCTCCTGTCTCATCACCTTTTATATCATTCCTGAGCATGCGGGGGGTTCAGGGCCTTTGGTCACCGCAGGTTCCCAGACCAGTGGTTATCCAGAGTCATCCTCAGGAGACGGGATGGTCCAGAAAGATTGTGTGGCTGCATTTACCGCTGCCTGCCAGCTCTTCTTGGAGTGCTCCAGTTTCCCAGTCTACATTGCAGAAGGCAATCTGAAGACCTCTCCTCCACTGGAAGAACAGTGCGGTAAGGCTGCTACAAAGAATGAAGAACTTCTTTACTGAACCATATGAACTAAATAGCTACCCGTTACGCCTAATTCATCTGTGCAGATGCTGAGCAGATCCGCCTGCCGGTGTGGCTGCAGACCCTGATGGATGCCTGCTGTCTGGCCAGTGACTTCACCCTACAGGCTGTTGCTATCTCCCTGCTCATGGACCTAATAGGTCTGACTCAGTCGGTTGCTATGGTGACAGCTGAGAGTCAGGCTTCCGGTAGCAGCGCTGAGCCCGCTCAGAGCCCGAGCCAGGGTCGAGTCGCTGTGGTTATCAGGCCTCCACTAACTCAGGGAATCCTGAAGTATATTGCTGATAAAACTAACTTCTTTAAGGTAGAGATTGCTGACGTTGCTTCACAGGTTGGTGGGTTTTACACGGTTCTGCTGTGGTTCTGAGGTTTCTCTTCTCTGTTGCTCAGAGTGTTGCAGTGATCCTATGGGACCAGCTGGGTGAAGGCACGCCTCAGCATCACCAGCGGAGCGTGGAGCTCTTCTACCAGCTGCACAACCTGGTTCCCTCATCCAGCACCTGTGAGGACGTCATCAGCCAGCAACTCATGCACAGAGACAAGGTCAGCAAAATAAGAACAGCAAATATGCTAAAACAGACGTTAACGAATCATAGAATCAGTTGATGAAATGACTAATGTGGTGAAGCCCAGGGATGGGAGGCATTTGACCTCTTCTATGTGTTAAATAACTTTTTATTCAATACCCACCCAGGGACACCATAATATGTTGTGATACTTTATAATATATTAATTGGCCTTCCCGGTAGGGGTGGTAAATATCTTATTTAATCCGATATTATGTCATTTATTGCTTTTGAACACATTCCCCAACTGGCTGTGTGTTAGAACAACAAATGAATCAATCTAGCTCAAATCATGGTCAAACAGATTATTCTGCACATATATGAGTTTAGATAAAGGAGTTTAAAAAAAATCATTCAGCTCCAAGTCAAACATATTTAGGTTAAAAACTCTGGACTAAAAACGAATGGAACTCTACTTAACTAACTTAATATCTACAAAGAGGAAGGGAAAACATGGTTGAAATCCATAATCAATGAGATGATGCAGTGATATCACAGTTTAGGATGGATTTTAAGTTTGAGTTTGTCTTGAAGGATTTGGGATGTGATCAAATAAGCTTTTCTCTAATTTAGAGTGATTTAGAATGTTTTCAAACCAGTTCACAACACAAATCCATGAGGTGAATAAAACATTATTTGGCCAAATAATGTTTTATTAAATTATGTTCTTAATCAGGAACCAATAACCTTTAAAGGATTCTTTACTCTCTTTGAAATGGCTAGCAGTGAATAGCCATGAGGATTCCTTTAAATTAATTTTGATCATTATAACTTGGTAATCGAATTGTAATTAGCATAAGAAAAACACATGAACACTAACGTTTTATCATAGTTTAAACTGTTAGTGAAATAAAGCTTGTCCAAGCTTTTGCAACAGCTCAAAACATATTACTATAGCATAGCATGCAGTCCATCCTGTTAGCTTTGTCTTCACTCATCAGTAAGCACATGAAATGATCAAAGTCATCAGAAGACATTATTTAACCAGAATCTGTCCCTAACTATGCCAGACTTTATACATCTCCCCATGTCCATTTTGGAAGGTTTGAGTTTCCTCCAGCAGTAGCAACATAGCACGGCAGGATCACACCAAAGGAAAGGCTTTTTAAGGAGACTTTCACCTCCAGTCCAGCTCTGTGAGTTCTGAAACTCAGAGAAATTTGTTGCAAATGGTCTGTTTTGCAGCAGTTCGGTTATGGAATGTCAACCATCATGACTTGGCCTTGGTCATTCTGTAGGTCTGGGTCTTGAGCCTGGATCTCCATGGTGTTGTCCTTTTCCAGTGGGTACCCCCGGAAGTAAAATAAATCCTATGTGCTGTAGTACTTTACTGTTCTCAACACAGTGAGGGGCCAAGGCACACCTCTGTGGGAGGTGTCCTGTGGATCTAGTTGGGCTGAGAAAAGAGGTCTCAAAGCTGTTTTATGAGCAAAACTGCAGCCTCTTCTCCAGTAAGATGAAACATGGACATTGGTCCTCAATGTCCAAAACTTTATAATGGTTTATGTCTCAACATATGCAATTTAATTAGAAGATGAGCAGCTTCATTTTGGAAAAGCTGAAGGCCTTTCTGACCTGGAAATGCATTATAATAATTAAATCTATAGAAATTAGGTAGTAAAGTCATTAAAATGAACTTTTGGGTTTAGAAAAACACTATAGAGGTGTTTTGTGTTTCAGATCTAATGTCCCTGTCTAGTTTAACACCTGAATTGGTGGAAAATAATTTCAAGAATGGAGTAAAAGCAAAAAAGCCTACAGAGTGGGCATCATAAGGGCCAACTTTGGCAGAATAATAAGAGCTCTCTGTCTTTTTAGTACTGAAGCTCAAACAATTCAGGCCAACCAGACTTTACATTTCTTTTGGGATTAAATACAAATTTAAACCAACATTAGGTGAATATTTATTTTTTGTTTTCCTTTTAAAGATTTATAAATTAGAAGATCGTCAGCATCTATTCCAAGGCGTCTTTAAAATGAGACCCAAAGGCAGAGAGAGAACATACTGTTCTACTATATAGACTCCTTGAGTCACAGATACACTTTGTTTAAACAAACACTTTGTTTATGTTGAGAAAAAAGTTTGCATCATTCGGTATCCTGGAACCGCTGACCTGACCTGAGACCTGTGAGGATCATTTTCTGATTTCTCCAGTGTCAATGAACCCAGCAGGACCTAAAGACTGTTTTTAATGGTTCCTGATCTTGGAATAAAAAGTCTTTAAAAACATCTCTTAAAGCATCTCTTTAGTGTTTACATTTGTTTCTACTAGATTGATGGAAATAATGTAATTTTCTGTGTTCTGTTTTTCAGAGGATTCGTTTGGAGGCCCATGTGAAGTTCTCCGTTCTGTGGCATTTAACGCGAGACTTGAACATCACCAAGGCTTCTCCGTTTAGCCGAACATTTGACAGGTGTGTTTGATCGTTTTTCCGTCTAAAGGTTCTCTTATTGTTCTGCTATTCATATGCATGCCGTTCTGCAGGTCTCTTTTCATCATGCTCGACAGCTTGAGTTACTGGGATCCCTGCACAAGCGCGGTTGGTCGGGCTTGGTTAAATCAGGTTCTTCAGAGACATGACATCGCACGGGTTCTGGAGCCACTCCTGCTCCTTCTGCTGCACCCCAAAACTCACAGGGTTTCTATTCAGAAGGTGCAAGCCCAGCGCCACTGGGCTCAGATGTTCCCTGAACCGCCTGAACAGGAGCCATCAGAACCGCTCTACACCAGAGACTCCGGCTTCTCAGACAGTGAGCTGTGGATGTGATTTCTTTATTTCTCCTCATATTCTGCTAGTGATTAAAACACTGGTTGCTTTAACATAATTTAATCTTTATTTGAAATATTATTTTTATTTCTTTAGACTTCCTTCAGATTCGAGGTGACAGAGTTGGGCATGAGGACTTCAGAGGTCTGGCAATTAGCGACATGGAGCCCTTTTGCCTGACTGTTAACCCCCTGAGTGACAGCTTGTCCATCCTCAGCCTGAGCAGCGAAAACCTGCAGTTAGCTGGAGGATATCCTCCCGGTGACCAGCAGGAGGAGCCACAGAGCTCAGAATCAAGTGGTTCTTGTTCATCTACGCTTGAAAATGGAAGCTTTGATGAACAAGAGAATGGAAAGGGCTCAGATGGAAAGCTGGGTTCTTCGGATGAAACGTCTGAAGACTCCGTGGAGGAAGCTGTGTCTGCTGTGATGAAGGAGCTTATTGACAGAGTTCTCAACTTAGTAGAAGAATCAAATGAAACCTCTCCGCCTGAAAACTGGCCCCAAACTGATACTGAAAGCACATCCTCGGACACCTCCACCGGTCTCCGCCTGGACTCCTGCCCTCCCGAGTGCTCCACCCACCACAATCTGCCTGAATTGTTAGCTGAAGGCACGCTGGAGTTCCTGTCTGTTTCTTCATGCGAAGCTCTGCACAAAGAGGGCATCGCTCGCCACAGCTCATCACCTTCCATCGTCACGTTACCAGGCGGCACCGATCCAGCCACTACAGACCGAAGCCTACAGGCGGATGACCCCCAGGCCCGCAAACGCAGCCACAGCAGCACTCAGCTCAGTCTGAAAGGGAAGATAATGGAGAAGCTGGTCGACAAATCTCCCGGGGCGAAACCAAAGACCAAGAAGGCAAAGAGGAAAGAGGAGGAGAAGCTGAGGAAAGCGAACCAGTCGGAGAAACTGCATCCACCCAGTATTTTCTTTGGAGACAGTCTAGACCTGGAGAACTGGTACAGCTGTGGCGAAGGAGAGGTGTCCGAAATCGAGAGCGACATGGGCTCACCCAGCGGGGGCTCTGGTGGGACCTGCGCCGGAGGAGAGGCAGCAGGACGCCGGCCGTCCTCCGCTCCGCCTCGTTTCAACATCCACCCTCTGTACCAGCACGTCCTGCTCTACCTGCAGCTTTACGACTCCTCCAGGACGCTGCACGCCCTTTCAGCCATCGCCTCCATGGTCAGAGCCGCTCCCTCAGGCTTCGTCAGCGCCATCTCTACCACCAGCATCAACAACACCTACACTCCGCAGCTCTCCTTGCTTCAGAACCTGCTGGCTCGCCACCGAGTCTCTGTTATGGGCAAAGATTTTTACTGCCCCATCCCTCAGGACTCTCACTCCCATTCCTTCCGCAGCGCCATGTACCTGGAGATCATCATCTCCCTCTGCCTCTACTTCCTGAGGAGTTATTATTCTGCCCATGTGACGGCGGCTCCTCAGGACTTGGCAGGAAATCGGGCCATGCAGCTGACCAGCGTGGAGGTCCTAACGCTGCTCTTCAGCGAGCTAGCCAAAGTCACAGCCGGCTCAGCGAAGGGATTCGCTAGTTTCATCAGTGACGTCCTCTCTAAGTGCAAAGTCCAGAAGGTCATACTCCACTGCCTGCTCTCCTCCATATTCAGCGCTCAGAAATGGCATGACCAGCGGATAGCGGGGATCAACATGGCGGCGGTGGAGGAAGGCCTGTCAGAGGACAGCGTGATCAACATGTCGGAGGACCAGATCGACAGCTGCAGCGCCGTTCAGTCCCAGCTGCTCCGACTGCTGCAGAGTCTAGTCGTGCTGGAGCACCGGGTCCTGGCGCCTGCAGATGAAGGTGGAGAACCTGCAGGTGGAGGAGGAGCAGGTGGAGGGCCCGGAAGTGGCGGAGTGGCCGGGTTCGAGATCCTAGGTGGGGAGGTGGAGCATGTAAATCCCCAGCAGCCTATGACGTCACTCCAGTACCTCCACGGTCAGCCAATCACAGCGCAGGGCATGTTCCTGTGCGCAGTCATCAGAGCTTTGCACCAGCATCACGCCTGTAAGATGCATCCGCAGTGGATAGGCCTGATCACAGCCACCCTGCCGTACATGGGGAGGGTCCTTAGGAGGGTGGTGGCCTCTGTGACTCTGCAGCTGTGCAGAAACCTGGATAATCTCCTGCAGCAGTACCGCTATGAAACCAGTGTAACAGATAGCAGGTGAGAACATGCTGTAAAGCGCTGTACGTAGAGTTGGTCACTAGATGGCACTGTGCACCACAGAAGGAGCCTTATGCTTCTTCTAACCCCTACAATCTAAACTCCTCCTTTTTTTTAGTTCACGCTGTATTTTGTTTAACCGTCTCCTAGACCCCAGTGGATGGCTCTCTGTATCCCACCAGACCTGATTCTGACCGTATTGGAGGGAATCACTTCCATCATCCATTACTGTCTACTGGACCCCACTTCTCAGTACCACCAGGTGAGGGCGCTGCTCATTTACTCTAACGTTCTGCTGGAAGACATGAGTAAGTTTTGTGTTTTTGAGTTTTAATAATAACTCTTACTCTCATTAATCTCTTTCTGGACTTTGTGAAAGTTTTCACTCATTCTATTTATTTACTTATTGATTGTATATAACCTTTATTTAACCAAAAAGTCCAATTGAGATTCAAAATATCATACCATACCATACCAACTTTATTTATGAAGCACTTTATGCACCGGACAGGACCAAAGTGCTGTACACAATCATAAAGTACAATTAAATTATAAAATAGAAAAAAAAACGAGTGTAAAATACTTATTAGTATACAAACAGAATAAAACAAAGTAAAACCTCTCAAATTGTGCCAAAAGCCAAGGAGAAAAAAAAAAAAAAGTCTTTTACAAGAGACACCTGACCAAGGTAGCAGCCAAATCACAAGAAATGCATATATAATAAATAACAAATTACATTTTTATTCTAAAAGAACTACAAAATGTTAAAAACACAAGACTCTCAAGAGAAACAAGTAAATGTCTCCATAACAGGATTATTTTCAGCAGTTTTGAATTATTTAATGAATATGAGGGTTTCTAACTTTAGCTCTTTCTGTCGATTATTCAACCCCAAAAGCAGTTTTTTCCCAATTAGGTTGCAACTCGGAGCACATTTTAAAGCAACCAGTTTGAGGAGTGTAGTGGATAAGAACCAGAACAATCTGAGAAATCAGAGAAGATTATCAGGTATAGCTTTTCAGCTAAACCTATGCTGAAGCTGCTGGCTACGTATTTCAAGTGAAGTCCAACCTACTAAATCATAAAGAATGCAGAGATTGGGGAGGGTCTTTGTTTTCTTTATGAATCGTAGTGATGAAAGGTAAACTGAGTCAACAAGATAGAAGATGCAGCATGCAGGTACAATATATAAAATACAGTTTCTTGATCTTTTTCTGAAATACAAGCCAAGTTTGTCTTTAAGTTACATGAACCTTAAACCTTATCCCATAGATTAAATTATCTATGTAGTGTAATATGTTTGAGGATAAATCAAGACAAAGCAGATTACAACTGTAGAGTTATGGAGTTTTTTGTTTTTGGTCTCTATGAGTCCAGTATTTTAGAACCACATTTCTTTCCATTATAGATGCTTGTGTTTCTGGGTATCACGTTTTGATTCTGTTGATTCTACCTCTTTGTTGTGAGGTTATGATATATTTAATACCCACCTCAGTAACTAAGTAAATATGTTATTTAATCAGATATTTGGGCTGTCATATATTCTTTGTCAACTCACCAATGAGGACCAATTAAATTGCTTTTGGTGATAATTTGGTAATGAGACAAGGAGAAAACATTTGAATGTTATATTTGTGTGACTTAAGCCTGTTTTAGCTTTATAAACAACAGTTCAAAACATGTCAATATGGCGTACAATGCGATTCAACCTGTTAGCATGTTATTATCAAAAAATCATTAAAGAAATAAATATTTTAGCTAGAAACTCTCTCTGACTTCTGTGCCAGACCTCTAACTCTGCTAGACTGCGCTTATGAAAGTCTTGGTTTCTTTCTTTCTTTTTTTTCCCTCCAGCATTTAGCAGCATGGCCACAAACCAGGATAGCTTCCTTTGTTTTTAAGGCTTCCACCTCCAACCAGCATCTCAAAGTTCTGAAAACTCAAACAGATTGTTCCGCAGCAATTTGGCTCTGAAGTTGTCCATTGGGTCCTCTTAGCTTTTGCAACTTCTGCTTTTTAGCATGGGCTCTTCCATGCTGGTGCCCCTCCGATGTGAACTGGCCAGAGATCAGTCCCCAAACAGAAAGAAGCAGGCATGGACAGTTGCTCTTCTTCTCAAACACCAAATGGGGCGAAAATTCCATGTCCCCCTATAAGGGGTGGGTATTGGCAAAGAAGTCATTAATCGATTCCAATCACGATTCACATGCCACGATGCGATTCTATCACGATGCATCATGATACTTGAAATATTGCGATGCATTGCAATATTTTCACTGAACACTGTAAAAAAAAGATACAGCCATTACCAGTGGCTGACTGGCTGGGTATGATCTGGATAGTGTCTTCAATTGATACATAACTGAAAGCAACTGAATTCATACATAGCTGTATTTATTAAAATGACTTTTGGAGGTGTTGCAATGAAAACAAATACTGGACAGAAATATTACTATTACTGGCGTGGACACACTGACAAAATGATCTTAGGATTCATCTAACTTAAAATAACAAAATAAGGATAATCATTGCCATTTACATTGCCTCTGTGGTCCTTTAAACCAATGAAATAAAAAACATTCAAATGTATATTTCCTCTTTTGCAAATTACGTGCATCATATCAATTTAGTTTTTACCTTCTTTGTTTTTAAAGCCAGAATGCATCCAAGCATCTGACTTGAAATGTGATGGAGCCGGGGGGGCGAATTTTCTCAGTCCCCTCCATATTTTGTTTACGAATGACTCGTCTCAGTATCCTGCGGCCGGACATGCTTGTGACACAAAGCAGCGGGCGTCAACACATCCGCAGCGACATCTGCTGGACAGGAAGTTGTATTCCACTTGATCTGTCTGATGTGCGCCAACCATTATTGTATTTTATTTGTTCATTTATTTATTTTTTAATAATCGATTCTTGCCTTCAAGAATCGATGCAGTAGATCACAAAAATTAGAATCGCGATGCATCGTCATGACGATTATTTTGCACACCCTTACCCCCTAAAGGAGTGTCTCCTAATACTGTACTGGGGGAGGGATGTAGATTAGTCAGCTGCAGGCAAACCTTCATCCTCTGGAAATTATAAAATATGGACATTGGTTCCCTATCTCCAAAATTATTATGGTTTATGGCCCAACATTTCATCAAGGATTCTCAGAACATTAATGGGCAAACAGCGTTGAGAAAAACCAGTCAGCACAGCAGACAAGTCGGTATCATTTGGAAAAGAAACACAAAGTATATGTAAAGTGATATAATTTGAATGGAAGATACATGAAGTTGAATACATGACAAAACAAACTCTTAGGAGTTGCATAAGACTGGGGTGGAAATTTACCTTCTGTTGATGAGTTTGACGGTGGCCTAGTCAGTCACAATGCGACTGGGAGAATGTGAGAATTTATTTCAATATTAAAATGTGTTTTTTCTACAGACAGTTCCCCGTTTTCTGGGACATTTGCACTTAAAATGGTTAGATAATTTGCCCACTCCTTTTTTCAGAGTCTGTAGATCAGAGCCGCAACACTAGCTAAAGGTGGTTGTAAAAAGCACAAACTGTGGAGACCANTTACATGAACCTTAAACCTTATCCCATAGATTAAATTATCTATGTAGTGTAATATGTTTGAGGATAAATCAAGACGAAGCAGATTACAGTCCAGACTTTTAGAACCACATTTCTCTTCATTATAGCTGCTAGTATTCCTGGGTATCACATTTTGATTCTGTTGATTCTACCTCTGTGTTGTGAGGTTATGATATATTTAATACCCACCTCAGTAGGGGTGATAAATATGTTATTTAATCAGATATTTGGGCTGTCATATATTGTTTGTGAACTCACACCCTACTGGCTGTGTGTTAGAACAGCAAATAAAAGTGCAAATCGAATATATTCACCAAAACTTCCATTAAAAATATGAATTGATTTACAAAAATCATTCAGCTCCAAGCCAAAAATATTTCTGTTAAACTCTTGACTAAACTAGTGAAACTCGACTAATATAAGCTGCTATACACACAAAAAATAAGAAAAAACATGGTTGAAAACCATAATTAATTCAATGAAGTGATGTCATCAAAGTTTTTCTTTCATTTTTACATTTTGGAACCAAAATGTATCTTGGAAGATTTTGGTATAAGGTCAAATTAGCTTACTTAGACTCAACTTTATTTATCCTCAACTTTATTATCTCCTTAAGGGAAATTCTGGTTCCTGCGGGTCCTTAAAAAGTCTTAAAAGGCATTGAATTCTTCAAAATAAAACTAAGGCCTAAATTGGTATTAAAATGTCTTAAATCAGTCTTTCGTAGGTCTTAATTTTTAAAATATCATAAATAGGATCATTTTTTTTTACGATTTTTTTTTGTAATCTAAATAAAACATTAAAATTGACAACTTTTTTTTATTTAAAAAAAATAACGGCTCGCCATTATTGGTTCCGTCCCGATAGCGGAACCAATAAAAGCGTTGTTGCGGCCGGGACATTTAGGAGATGCGCCATTTACTTTTTGTCTGGAAAACATGAACAAGTGTAAATATAACGAAAAACTCCAGCCAAGAGTTTTGTCCATGGCTAAAACCAGGGAACATACATGAGGCACAGTGGATTTTGTGCAAGAAGACATTCAAGCCCGGAACGATGGGAATTAAGGCAGTGGAGTCACATGCGAAGCACGAAACACAAAGCGTCAAAATGGAGTTACCGAGAAACAGCCGGAGTTGAATGCTCGGCAAAGAACTCTGGACAGCTGCCCTTCTTCTCAAACACCAAATGGGGCAAAAAATTTCATGTCCCCCTATAGGAGTGTCTCGTAATATTTAGATAATTTGCCCACTCCTTTTTTCAGAGTCTGTAGATCAGAGCCGCAACACTAGCTAAAGGTGGTTGTAAAAAGCACAAACTGTGGAGACCAAATCACACCACGATTTTTAATGTGCTCAAAGTATTCTCCCAATGTAATTGAACTTCCCAATCCAGCTTTACTTTGTTTTAGATTATCACATAATTCTGATGACTGGATGAAATTTGTTGGTGTAGTTTAAAGAAAATTTTGAAAAAGGAAGAAAATTATTCACAAAACTTGGTAATAAACCAGATCCTTTTTGTTTTTCTCAGTTACAAGTGAGCGTTGACCAGAAGCACCTGGCTGAGGCTCGATCAGGCATCCTGTCCATCCTCCACACTATCATGTCTTCCGTCACGCTGCTGTGGAGCGTCCTCCACCAGGCTGACAGCTCTGACAAACCAGCCGCTGCTTCAGCTGCTGCCACATCCAACATCAACCTGGGCTCCACCAAGGTCTGTCCACAAATATCCATTTATCAGCTCCTCTTGATAAAAACTAAACCTTGTTTGCAGCTGAATAAGGAGAACATTTGCAATAACTAGAAAAAAATAATAGATTCACAAATAAGTGTCCTTTTCACAGAGGCTTTGGATTTTTTTACAATTCTGGTCTCTTAAATAAAAGTTTCCTTTTGCCTCATTCACAGAATCTCCGCCAGCAGATCTTGGAGCTGCTGGGTCCAATCTCCATGAACCATGGTGCTCATTTCATGGCAGCCATTGCTTATGTTTGGAATGAGAGAAAACAAGTCAAAACGCCGATCAGAAATAAGGTAGACAAGGAGAGAAACATCATGTAGCCAAATCAGACATCTTATTCTGTTCCCATCTCGATGTGGACACAGCAGATCAATGTAGAGTTTATCAGGGATGGTGCCCTAACAGTGCTTTAAAACGTTTAATGATTACAGTTTATTCATGAAGTCATTTTTTTAGGTGATTCCTGTAGCCAGTGAGGAGCAGCTACTGCTGGTTGAGCTCGTCCGGTCGGTCAGCGCCATGCGTACAGAGACAGTCATGCAGACGGTCAAAGAGGTCCTGAAGCAGCCTCCTGCCATTGCAAAAGAAAAGGTAAGTTATTAGGACTTAATGCTGAACTGTTGAAGCCATTAGATGGTGTAAACAGAACTAGATCCCTCACAAAAGCCTCACAAATGAGAAGAACCATCCAAGTAAGTTAGATTAGCATTGAAAAGTGTCCTTTTTAAGTGTTGAACTTGAGGCTTACAGCTTCCACTTACTGAAACCCTGAATTTAGTTTACAAGAACATGAGAACATTTTACAAGACAAGTTGAGTGTTAATGCTGCATTCCTTCTGATTTGAGACTTTATTAACCCTGTAAAACATTCATATCACCAGAGATATTGGTGCATCACAACATAAAAACTCTCAGAAGACTGTTTTGCTGAACTGATTCTCCTGGTTGTAGTGCTTTCTAGTTTGTCTGGGGGAAATCCAATAATTGATCCAGATCTTCTGACTTTTTTTCCTGTCTCAAATGTACGTCTATGTTGTCTTTCCAAAAAAACCTTTTTAACTGATCTAATATATTTTTTTTTTCGTTCATCTTTAGAAGCACATCTCTTTGGAAGTCTGCATGCTGCAGTTCTTCTACGCTTATGTACAGAGGTGAGTTCATTACTTTATAGCTGCGGTGAAGCAAAGTGAAGATGTCTAACCCTATGATTGTTGTTTTTACACACCAGGATTCCTGTGTCCAGCTTGGTTGACAGCTGGCCGTCCCTGCTAGCGCTGCTGAAGGATTCTGTACAGCTGGGTCTTCCTGCTCCAGGACAGTTCCTCATTCTGGGGTTGGTTTCTATTTTCACAGCATCATAAAAAAATTAAAAAATAACACATGAACTCAGAGTGCAGACATCAAGGAAGTTGTTGCTTAGACCTAATTTCTTTTTAGAACTCATGGTTTTCTTTTTCACTAGAGTTCTGAATGAGTTTATCTTGAAGAATCCTAATCTGGAGAGTAAGAAAGACCAGCGAGAGCTGCAGGTAGGTTCAATTGTCTTATGTCTGTAATAGAAGTAAAAGGAGAAGCTGGTGGAAGTAGTGGAAAATGAAGTATAAAGTGTTGATGATGAGATATTAATTTAATATCAGTTTGCATTAAAATCATGGGCAGGACATACCTGGTGGTTTTGAGTTATTATGAATAAAACAGTCTTATTTTTAACAGAAATAGCCTACATTTAACAGCTCCACAGTAGCACTCTAATTAATAGCTAGCAAGAACCCATCTCTTTGTGTGATGTCAGAGGGAGGATGTTTTTGGAGCTAACTCTGCATTCTATAATGGAGATGGATGGAAACAATGATGGTTGTTCCAGAACATCTAGTCTGGAAATGGTTTGTTTGATTGAACCATCAGCTAGTTTTAGCTCAGGTAGTGATGCTGAGGAATATGGAGGCATCACACCTTCCAGGTCAGAACCAACCAGTGTGGTCCTACAGAGGCGGACTATGAGCCGGAGGGTGGCGGCTAATATGACCTCAGCAGCCCTGGTAGAAAACACGGCTGCTCTACCCCTGGTACAGATAGTATAACCAACTATTAGCTTAGAAATATAAATGAGTTTATAATACTTTAAATTAACATTATATCCTCCATCGCTCAGTGCTGCATTACTACTACTACAAAGCAGGTCTCTGCTTTGGTATTACAGGAGCTAAAAACAATTAGTTTTGATTCATCATCTGGACTCGCACAGTCTATAGTATAGGTTCCACATCAGCTGTTTTTTTTCCTGATTTTCTCTTACCTCATCATTTTCTCGGCTGGAAGTGGAAGCCCTGGGACCGGCATAGGCAGGTCTTTAATAATAATACGTCCAAGTCGGACTCCAACACCGGCTACCTTTCTCTCTGACCCCTGGTGGGGGCGCCCTAGCTAAAACTGCTGGACGCTGCTTACAATAGATATTCACTGAACAACCAAACAAATCTTTTAATGAGGGAATAAAATAAAATATACACGTCCTTCTCAAAATGTTGCAGACATAGAGGAGTGCTCAAACTCCTCCTGCTTGTCTGACCTTCTTCACCCACTTTGAAAGCAGCTCAGGACCCTTAAGAAATGTAGATAAGCCGAGGCCATGCTTATGGAGGTTGAAGCAAAAAGCTGCGACCCAGAGTGAAAGCCTAGTTGTCTCTTAATCCATGAAAACTTCAGTCTCTGCCCATAAAAAAAAAAAAAAAACTTGTTACAACACTGTAGTTCTACTGTATACTTCACTAACGTTTTCTCCTTCAGTCACTGAGGAGCACTGGACTCCTCTGAATGGCAAAGGTTTGTTGATAAAAAGTATTTTATGCTGGCATGTGTGAAATTATTACATTAATCATCAGTATTTACGTTCTGCTCTACAAAAATAATAGAAAACATCAATATCATCAACACTAAGTTTATTTAAACTGTCCTAAACTGTCAGAAATATATTTATTTTGAACTAAATCTGAAAAGTGTGAAATTCATTTGAGTTCACCTCTGTGTGACTTGACACTTTAAAGAAGCTCCTTTAACTGATAAAAACTAAGCAGCAGCAGTTTCAATTCCATCAGATTAAATAGAGAGCATCTCATCTAGGTTTTTTCAGATTATCTGTTCAATTGGGCGTCTGGAGTTTACTAAGATTTTGGTTCATAAAATGAAATATATGAAAGCTTGTGGTTGACTTGAGAAAACCTGATGAATTTCATTGTGTTTTACATTTTAACAAACCACTGCAGAATGAAAATATATCTAGTTGAATTGTGATTAGCTTTTTAAATCGGTTTTGTTTCCTTATTTACTTGTGAAATAAAAAGATGGGGGATGGATCATGGTAAGAAGGTTTACTTGAAGTTAATCTGTTTGTTCAGGATGTGACTCATAAGGTGGTGGAGGCCATCGGCACCATCGCCGGCTCCTCTTTGGAACCGACCACGTGGCTGAGGAGGAACCTGGAGGTGAAGGCGTCTCCTCAGATCGTTGTTGACGGAGCCAACCTGGAAGCAGACGTAGAAGGTGCTCCATCAACAAGCATTTACTGTTAAAAATCTTCTGCCTGCACTGAAATCAACTTATAGGCTAACACCTGTCCGCTAATTCAAAACGCAGACAGTCTTTTTGTAAATCAAAGCAAAAAAAGTTTGTAGCTTAAGCTTCAGCATGGCAGTTTTTTTACTGAGCTTTGTAGCTGCTGCTAACGTTTGCTGTATGTCTTTTGTAGACTTATTGCACACAGTGATGGAGGCCTCCACCTTCACTCCATCCGTATACAGTGTTCACGCCCTCACACTGCTGGCCGAGGTAAACACGAGCGTCTGCGACCCATCTGTCCACACCAGTCGGTGGTTCGGCTGCTCATTTACCTGCAGTGTTTGGATCCTGTTATCACACAGAATACATGAAGTCCTTAGATTGGATTTTTCCGGCCAGTCCTTCAGAGTGGACCAATAAATCCATGTGCTGTGTTGGTTCTGGCTGTGCAGGATGTGAACAGTTTGACTCACTTTATTGGCATCCTGGCTGTTTTTAGCTCAGTGTGGGTTTGATTACAAACATCTTGCCTGTTTTTCACTGACATTAGAGCTATTAGATTTGAGTTAATGCAAAGCTCTACATAAAAAGAACATGCTGCTCTATAGATTGAGACACTTGCTTCGTGCCTCATGTTGTTCCTCAGCCATTCCTTGATTTAACATGTTTGTCTGTCTGTCAGGTGCTGGCTCATCTGTTGGACATGGTGTTCTACAGTGACGAGAAGGAGAAAGTCATCCCGCTGCTGGTTAATATCATGCACTACGTAGTTCCCTACCTCCGCAACCACAGGTGTGGAAAAAGTTCTTTATTTTCCTTCATCAATGGTTCTCTGCTCTAAATTAAGCCACACTAGAAAACCTGACCTTAGAACAACTACTCCTCTTACCCTTAACAACCCCATAGCATTTCCTGTCAAGCTCTTGCTTCCGGCATTTCACAATAAAAGCCCAGCTGAAACTTAACAGCACGGACTGTGGCTAAACTTTTCTCTATGTAAAACATTTAAATCTCCTTGGGGAGACCATCAATTTTTGGAAAAGCCCCAAAAGTTCTGAAAAAAAGAGCCCACTTCGGTTCATCCAGAGCTGTGTCTGGATGACGGCGGGATTCTGACAGACTTCCTTGGTAATCTATTTGCGCAGATAGAACCGTTGCTGGGCAGTGGGGGTCTGTGATGGAGGAAAAGGAGCATGACAATCAGTCTGTCTTGGGCTAAATTCAGATAGCTTTTATGCCACCTAAAAACCTCTACAGAACATTCATTATTTCATCCTTTCCCCCTGGCAGTGCTCACAACGCCCCGAGCTACAGAGCCTGCATCCAGCTGTTGAGCAGCTTAAGTGGTTACCAGTACACCCGCCGGGCCTGGAAGAAGGAGGCCTTCGACCTCTTCATGGACCACACCTTCTTCCAGATGGACGCCTCCTGTGTCAGCCAGTAAGCACACCCTAAAAAGTTTTCACTTCCAAAAACTCAACATCAAAAAATATTAATCTACTGTGAAGTTTCTGCACTTGTCCTAAGAAAACCAAGGAGACAGTTTCCTTTCAGTTATGACTTTCATGTTAAGCTGCTTTCTCCTGTCCCTAAATGTTTTTATTGCAGGTTTATTTCCAGTTTATTTCCCAAATTGTTCCTACTTAGTCGAAGGCATTAAACTGCCTTGCGAGTGCTGTCGCCTTCAGACCAGGACTCGTCTTTTGAATTAAGGAAGCAAACACATCCCTTGTTCTCTAGGGTCGAACTTTACACAAATAGATTCTTTGATGATGCAGCATAGGGGCAAAATAAAACATGTTAACTTTCATTATTTGGATGTTGTGTTTTTTGTTAGTAAATAGCATCTTATGTTTGCAGGATGTTGTTCAGATGATTAACTTTAACATCATTCGCCTTATCTTCCAGCTGGAGAGCTATCATTGACCACCTGATGACTCATGACAAGACCACATTCAGAGACCTGATGAGTAAGCCTAAGATTTTCTATCTATGGAGAGGTTTCTGCTGCCAGTGGTCCCAGGCCATTAACTGTGCATCAAATCAGTCGAACTAAAAAAACCCTCCTTGCTTTGGTGTTCTGTTTGCATCCAGCCTCTGACCCTCTCAAGTTGACAATAAAATATGAGTGATCTTTGGGGAGTAAAACTGTTTGTGTTTTGATTTCAGCGCGGGTGGCGGTCGCTCAGAGCAGCTCCCTGAGTTTATTCACCAACAGAGACGCTGAGCTGGAGCAGAGGGCTATGCTGCTCAAACGTCTGGCCTTTACCATCTACAGCAGCGAGGTGGACCAGTACCAGAAATACCTGCCGGACATCCAGGGTAAGCAGAAGCCAACATCCTGACCTGCACTGAAGGGATAGTTTTATTCCCTGCTGCATGGGTTCTTTACGTCTGCCTCTGTGTGTTTTAGAGCGTCTGGTGGAGAGCCTGCGTCTGCCTCAGGTACCCATCCTTCATGCTCAGGTGTTCCTTTTCTTCAGGGTGCTGCTGCTACGCATGTCACCTCAACATCTCACATCACTCTGGCCTACCATGATCACAGAGCTGGTGAGAGAGGCGGCCGCTCAGAGTCGTTTTGTCCTATTGTTGTTTAAGTGTTGCTACTTTACACTCGTCATCTTCCCCTCACGCCCATTCCTCCTCTGCTGTGTGCGTTTATAGGTCCAGGTGTTCCTACTGATGGAACAGGAGCTAACAGCTGATGAAGACATATCAAGGTATGTCAGCACAACAGTGGTGATTTAATTCATATCAGTTTTATTATAGAGAAGTTTTCAAACTGTAGAATAGCTGAAGTTTTAGGACAGCAATCTTTATGATCCGTATGGAAAACGATGTTATTTGACGAACATGGATGCCTCCAGTAAAGCACATTCAAATGAAAATGAATCTTAATGAAAAAAACACTTATCATTTATTAAACAGAGTTTAATAATTTCATATTTAGTTTGAATTCTGAATATGACCTAGCTTTTCCTTTAATAAAAAAAATCAATCGTTATTTGATCAGAAGATAAATGTCCCCATGAAATAAAACAAGTGTTAAAAATGATTAACTTATTTTGTCATCTATTTTAATCACTTGTTGTTTAATTTATTTATGTTATAAATTGTTAAATAAACAAATCTCCTCAAATAGATTATTGAATGCATCTTGAAGTAATTAAATAAATGACTAAATTAGCTTAACATATTTTATTTTGTTTTTCTATCTGATGGAATCTGGACAGTTTATTAATAAAAGGATTTTGTCCTGAAAAAACTATCTGAAGAGGTTTTTTAATGTTGTTTAAATGAAATGCACATTTTGGACTAAAATGAGAACACCTACTTCCAGTTTGACTTTCCTTCATAAATTTCCCGCTGTCTCCTTTTCTAGGACATCAGGACCATCTGTAGCCGGATTGGAGACCACTTATTCTGGAGGGAACGGCTTCTCCACGTCCTACAACAGCCAACGCTGGCTAAACCTCTACCTCTCTGCTTGCAAGTTCCTGGATCTTGCCTTGGCGCTGCCTCCTGAGAGCCTGCCTCAGTTCCAGATGTAAGTGCAGAAAAATCCAAGGAACTGTAGACTTTTCATGTGATAATTAACCTTCAGTTAGAGAATCAATCAAAATGGATTCATCTCAGTAAATCGTTGTCTAAGTGTAACTTCTACAGATTTATCGCACACAGAGATTCATTTCAGGCATTTATTCCTTTTCTTTTATATGACTTCACCTTTAAAAGATGCATGTTATCAGTTTAATCATATTTAAGACCAAATCATCAAACCAAACCACGGAAATAAACACTTTAAATTACACAGTAATTGAATTACTGGGAAAATACTTTGAGAATTAATTAATTAACTCAAGATCTTATGCTATGTTCCCACTGCAGGTCTTAATGCTCAGTTCTAATTGTTTAAGGTGTTTGTTCACATTTCCTAATATATGCAAATTGTATGTGATCTCCTGTTAAAACTGAAGTAGAGGACGCAATGATGTCACAAATGGTAATGCTGGAGTACATCTATCAAATATCACCTGGTTCCAATAAGACTCATCATGGGGGGACCGATAAATGCAGGCGGGGGGGAAGCACGGGGACGCAGGTGTCCAGGCTACCGTTACCGGGTCAGGTTTGGTCGCTCCGTCCCCCCTCTGGCTCCCTGTTTTCGACTACGTGCTGCACTGTAGTCCACCAAAATCGTGGACGATTGTGAAATTCCCCCCAGACATTTTTTTAGGTCTGAAAAGTAGGGCAGGAAAAAGAGGACGTCTGGTCACCCTAGTAGTAACAGATCAGTATCAGATTTAGGACAAAGCTGCCTGAGTCATATGTGACAAAAAATCAGATTTGTGTTTTTAGACTCATAAAAAGGACCTTAAAGGTCCTGTTGGCTAATAAATGAAAGGCCGTTTCTCAATTCACAAGAACGCGACTACGGACTTGTGTTCTCGCCAAGTATGCTCTTGAGAAGAACACAGGAAACTCAGGGAGAACGGCAGCATGCATCATAAAAATGGGTCAATTAGAGCAGAAGCGTACTGATGACATCACCAGATGCTCAGCTCGTCTGGAGCTGCATTTATCCTCCTGTTATTAACTGACTCTAGATGATAATAAATTATTACTCTTTTCATTTAGTGAGGGAATGATAATTAACACAGTCAGATAAATGCAAATCAAATGAACATTTTGCCAAATAACCAAAAAAACGGCCTGACAGCCAGCGGTCCTTCTCACACGGCTATGCAGAGAAAGGGCTGCTGCAGACTGGCTAGGATTAGATCTGGCTGCCCCGGAGCTCTGCTAGTTGCCTCGGTCCTCTTAACTTAGGAATTTTTTTTAACTTACGCATTAAATAGGTTAATGGGCCACACAGTGACGGTTTAAAGTATAATATTCTCAACTCAAATGGTCTTAAAATTTACTTTTATTGAACAACAGCAACAGAAATAAAATCTTTTAACCTAACACTCTGAGCTCTGTGAGCGCTGCAATGAAAGCTGCTGCTGCTGCTGCAGTGCATGCTGGGACAGCTGTCGATCTCAAGAACAGACAAGTCTGCTCTAATGCATGCTGGGTAAAGAGGGAGGGGCGAGAACAACATCCGGGGATATTGTCTGCTCTCTGTCTGCTGTAGTTGTGAATTGGAACAGTTCTATGGCTGAGGTTGATTACTTTTCATGAGTAAACGAACTTATGAGAACGCACAAGTTATTGAAAAACGTCCACAGTTAAGGAGCGACTTTGATTCCTCTCAAAGTGAGCGATTCTCCATTACAGGTACCGCTGGGCCTTCATCCCTGAGGCTTCAGACGATTCAGGGTTGGAGGTGAGACGCCAGGGGACACATCAAAGGGAGTTCAAGCCCTACGTGGTTCGTTTGGTGAAACTTTTGAGAAAACGAGCAAAGGTATCTCCTCCTGCTTTTTAACTGGACAAATGTAGTTTAAAATCAAACTATCAGATGAATTCTCCTTTCTTACTTAGTAATTTGTTTTGTTTTTTTACCATAGAAAAACCCAGAGGAGGACTGCTCCACTAAAACCTTACCTTGGGAGCCAGGCCACCTGATGCTGACCCTCTACATTATCCGCAGCATGGAGCAGCTGCTGCCCTTCTTCAACCTGCTCAGCCAGGTGTTCAACAGCAAGGCCAGCTGCCGATCAGGCCACGCCTACTCCCACAATCCCGCTGATTCTTCCTTCCCTGGAAACAAGGAGGGCCACAAACTGGAGAGCCAGAAGGTGTTCTGGAGCCGAGCTCGCCAGAACATCGAGGAGATGGTGGAGAAAGACTTTCTAGAGGGCCTCATCAAGACATGAGAACCCAGCCGAGGAGGAAGTGGGCATTAACACATAACTGAACACTAGTGAAAAACTCTAACTTGTACATTCATGAACATTATTATGGGATGTGAGGGGGGGTTGTACAGTTTTTTATTTATGACTCTTGAGCTATGGTTATTTAATTTTAATTATTTGTATGTATGGAGCAGCTTTTGACAGGTTTTAACATTTCATTCGAGTCCTTTAGAAGAAATAAAATATGCTGTGCCATTCCATGTGAGGTGACTTAATAAAACAGGTTTCTAATAACAGATACTCATCACTGTCTTCAAAATGCTTAAAGCTCTTTTAGTCAGGGCATGCTTTGGTTGCACAGTGGTTAGCCCACACGACCCATGTATGCAGGCCTTAAGACCAATTTTCACTTCTGACGCATAGCCTCTGCAACTGTCAAATCTGTCTGTGCTGTCATTGCGTACCTCAAAAAAATCCTGACTACGCGTCAGATGTTGGCAAAGACAAAAAGCAGCTGTGATTGGTCCTTGATATGCCTTTCAGGCTGTCTGTGTGGTCGTCCTTCTCGATTTAGTGCCGGGCTGCGCTATTTTTAAAAACTGAGGAAAAATTGACAACTACGACGAAAAGTCAATCAAGGTGGTCCGGAAGTACAACCACTTGTACGATGCCTCAGACAAATAAATAAATATAATGAATAAATATATCCTTTTCGATGTCTAGCATGTCTAGATCCATCTCGTGATATCTTGCAGACGTACCATTTTAGTTTTGGAAGATAAGCACTCCTGCAGACTCCACCGAATTTCTTGCGAGTTCTAAAATAGGCTCCCCCTTGTGCTTTGGAGGGAAACTGCTGTGCGTCCCTAGAAATTCCAGACCGACGGTGCAGAAGCATACCAGCAAAACTTGTTCGCGACCAGACCCAAGTGACATTTGATGTGTGCGGTTGCAGAAGTCTAATCGGCCCTTTGGTCTTCGACATGGGCAGGCTGGGTTCGAATCCGGCCTGCGGGCCTTTCCCACATGCGTCTTCTACTGAAAGATTGAATCATCAGCTCTTTATTTCAGCTCTGCAGGAGTTGAGCCCTGTCTCTTTATTGGTTTGCCAGCTTTAATGAGGCAAATAAATGTCAAAATGTGTGAATTCGGGACATTTGTTCTCCGTCTGCCTACTGTTAGCATGTTATTGTGCCAAATGAAAATTAGCCCCTTATTCTTTCATTTCCAACTTTGACTTCCCCCAACTGGCGTTTGGGAAAAATCCACAGAAGAGTTGCACCTTCTTATAAGCCGCATGGGGAAAAAAGTCGCGGTTTATAGTCAGCAAAACATGGCAATTTTAAACCAATTTATATGTTTGATTTACCAGGTAATCGAAATGAATATGCTGTAATTATCTTACAGGATTTTTTAACATAAAACCTTCAGCCTCAATCTGAGGCTCAATCTTTTCCAGTGTGTAATCTCTGCTGTTGGATTATCATTTTGAAAGGGGAAAAAAAGACTCCATACTTTTGCAGAATTCCTCATTTGTTTTACCTTTTGAATTTTGTATGAAGCTTAGGTCGCATCTGAAAGGGAGACGCATCATGTAGGGACAATGGAAAAGTTTTTGGTGATTCACTGGTTAATTTTTAGTTGAAGGTTTTTCAAAGTTGACCCGAATTAATAATTAAAACTAAAAAATTTTTCTCAAAACAATTTTTGAGACCAGAATCTAACCTTTTAACTTCCTTGAGCATTCTTTTTAAAGATGTTTTTAATATTTTAATTACCGTATCATCCTCTACAATGTTTTCGCTGTACCATCATAAGCTATTTATTTATTTTCCTTTTATATATTATGAGCTAAGTTACAACACCTATTTAGTAGCTTAGTTTTATGAAATGTAAATCTCTTTTTGTACCACTATGGGGAAATTCACTCTCTGCATTTTTAACCAATCACCTTGGGGAGCAGTGGGCTGCTATTGTGTGGCGCCTGGGGAGAAGTCTGGGAGTTAAGGGTCTTGCTCAGGGACCCAGAGTGAAGGCTGTGGGGATCGAACGGTTACTTGCAAACCTCTCAGCACAAGCGCTTTGCTCTAACCACTGGGCCAATACTTCCCCTAAAAATGTTCTATATTTCATTTATTCTAATAGTAATATTAGTAGAATTTTATTTTTCTCTCTTTATTTTAGATTATTTTGCCATGATCTTGGCATGATTGTGGAAAAACAGCCTCTGATCAGGAAAAGAAGTCAGAGCCACCTCAACTGAGTCCTCTCGATGTGGAGGAGATGCTTGTCAACAATGGGACTCTATACCAAGCAACGTAAGGGAGTGGCTGGCCACCCTGGGAGGGAAAGTCATTTAAGCCGCTATTATCCTGGATCTCATTCTTTAAGTCATGATCCAGATTTCATAACAATCTGTAAGAATAGGTATGTAGGAACTGCTACCTTAATCTTAGCATGATGGAGGGAATTCATTACCCAGATGAAACCAGAGGCTATGTTGTTGGGGATTTAAACTCCCTGGTAGAGTCTGGGCTCTCTCTCGGGTCTACCTTGGGAATGACTGTCTGCTGGCTGAGCCCGTGGGCTTGTCTCTGTGGCCCCTTCGTGCCTCAGGACAATAATCTCCTGTATGCCCTTCTCAAGTGGGTGTGGCCATCCCTATGTCTGCCCTCCTTTTGTTCCTCTAGTCTGGGGTTCCTTACATATCTGTTGATCTGATGTCATGGCCAAAAGTATTGAGAATTACACAGATATATTTTCACATGATCTGCTACCCTATGGTTTTCATGTGTGTATTTCAGATGTCATCACATACAGAAATACAAAAGCAATCACATTATGAGAAACAAAAGCTTTTAATGACAGAATGAGTTAATGCAAAAAGGCCATATTTGCAGTGTTGACCCCTCTTCTTCTGCAATTCTCCCTGGCATGCTTACAATCAACTTCTGGACCAAATCCTGACTGATAGCAGTCCATTCTTGCAGAATCAATGCTTGCATTTTGTCAGTATTCCTAGGTTTTCGTTTGTACACCCGTCTCTTGATGATTGACCACAAGTTTTCAATGGGATTAAGATCAGGTGAGTTTCCAGGCCATGGACCCAAAATCTCTGTTTTGTTCCCTGAGCCAGTTAGATATCACCTTTGCTTTATGGCAAGGTGCTCCATCATGCTGGAAAAGGCATTGTTCATCACCAAACTGTTCTTGGACAGTTGGGAGAAGTTGCTCTCGGAGGACATGCGCCAAGAGTCTCTGCCACACAGTGCGTGAAAATGCGCTCACACCTGCCTGCTGCCATTCCTGAGCAAGCTCCCTCCTTGAAGTTCTTGATGATGCGATAGAATGTTGACTGAGGTGCAATCGTTCTAGCTGCGATTTCTTTTTCCTGTTAGGCCATTTTTGTGCAGTGCAATGATGACTGCGTGTGTTTCTTTAGAGATAACCATGGTTCACAGAAGAGAAACAATGATGCCAAGCTCCAGCCTCTTTTTAAAGTGTCCAGCGGTGTCATTCTTACTTCATCATTACAGATTGATCTCCAGCCATGTCCTCATCACCACCCACACCTGTGTTAATGGAGCAATCACTGAAAGGATGTTAGCTGGTCCTTTTAAGGCAGGGCTGCAATGATGTTGAAATGTGTTTTGGGGGATAAAGTTCATTTTCTAGGCAAATATTGACTGCAATTAATTGCTGTTACCCTGATCACTCTTTATAACATTCTGGAGTATATGCAAATTTCTCAGTGGTGAGCTGTGAGGGCCTTCAAAGCCTTCTCTGCTGGCCTAAAATCAATCAGAAACACTAACATACATTCTCAACCTAAACTTTAATTTTCTTCTTTCCAGCTCTATTATTTTATTCAAAACAACCGTCTTAATTTTGTAACATTTCTCTTGATTACTGAGCTGCTTCCATTACATGTATGTGGTCTCTGACATCCACTCTCTGCCATTTTCTCCACATCTCCCATACCTTTATGGCTCTTTGGCCATTCTTTGCCTCCCATTCTACATTTAGAAATTCTAGGAACCACTGCAGATTGAGAACGAAGTGAGTGTTTGGAACACCAGAAACAATCAGATTTCTAATATAAGATGGAACTTGGTTATTTAGGGCTTTATAGGTGAGAAGGAGGATTTTGAATTCTATTCTTGTCATGATTCCTGGCATGAGTGCTAGTTTCCACTCAGCCTCCATCAGATTTTCCCTCTTATCTAACTGTATAACCAGCTCTCAGACCAGTGACTAGTGTCAGATTATTACGAGTATTCCTGTAAACCTGCCTGCCTGACCCCTGTTGATCATGTCCTGGCCCCTGTACTGAAGACATAATACTTAAAAGAAATTCTTATGATGATGCGTTGGAACAGACATGGTTACTGATAGGTCCTTTGGATCTATTTTATTCTTTTTCTTTAAAAACCTGTCTTAGTGTCTTTTGGATCTCTGACCTGTGTTCTGTGTTGCAGTTGCTGATTCTGGTGAATCTCTCCCAACCAGCGCCAGTTTCATTCCAATAAACTGTTTAAACGTCTCCTGCTCCAGTTGAATCTGGGTACTCCATTATCTGGTCATTATAATTCTGGATTTAACAGGAAGCCATTAAAAGGAAGCTAAAAATGGAGGAATATGTACTCATTTTAAAGTTTTTAGCAGAACTATAGCTGCAAAAGGAAGAAATATTAACATCTTTGAATGCAAGTGAATTTTATTAAAGAGCTTATTAAACTTTGGTCTCAGATAAGGAGAAGCATGAGAACCAAACAGGAAGTGAAGCCTCTGCTATGGTAGGATTTTCTTCATCTTGTGCCAGATGATGTTGCACAGATTTCAATGGTCTGAAGCTTTTTCCACACCTCCTGCACATGTAGGCACTCTGGTGTGGATATGTAGATGTCTTTTCAGAGAAGATCTACAACCAAAGCTTTTCCCACACTGATGGCAGGCAAAAGGCTTTTCGCCGGTGTGAATGTATAGATGTTGATCCAAATGTCCACTCTGCCTGAATCGCTTCCCACACTGATGGCAGGCGAAAGGCTTTTCGCCGGTGTGAATGTATAGATGGCGATTCAAACTTCCTTTCTGGTGGAATTGCTTCCCACACTGATGGCAGAGGAAATGCTTTTCGGCGCTGTGGATGTATAGATGCTCATCCAAATGTGCACTCTGCCTGAATCGCTTCCCACACTCATAGCAGAGGAAAGGCTTTTCGCCAGTGTGGATAAGCAGGTGTCTTTTCAGACAGTAAGATCTCTTAAAACCCTTTCCACATTGGTCACAGCAATGTACTGATTTCTCAGAGATATTCAGCTGATCCTGGCCTCTGTTACCCACATGCTGCTGACCTTCACCAAATTGTTCATCCACATTACTGATATCCATCTGTAA